AGTCAATTTGAAAGCTAAATGCAAGGTTAGATGCTATGCTGGAGATAAAGCCACAAGGCTATATGTTACAACCCAAGGAGAGTATATCTGCAAAAAAAGAAAATGGCTGAAGCTACAGATAGTGTCTGTTGAAATCCTAACTTTAATTGAACAGCTGTGAGAGACTCCTTTAGATTATCTATCTGAATGAGACTCATTTCCTAGGACACAGATGTTGCAAAGGACATGGCAACAGTTTACTGATTTAACTACGTCAGAGTTTGGAATAAATCTATACCAGTCACCCATCTTCCCTTCTCTCCATTCCTAAGGTTTTCTTTTCTTTCCTCTTCTGCATTCAGAAAGCCAGATGGGAGGGCGGGACAATTTCCTTATCTGACAAATAAATTGATCACTTGCAAAGATCTAGTTGAGTTATGCAGGGGCAAGACTGCAAGCTGCCCTCTCTTTCTCTAGATTTCTACAGTAATTATAAGAGAATTTTACCTTAAATTGTATTTCTCAAGGTAGACATTAAGCCTTGAATGAAAATGCTTATGTTTCCCTCCACATATATACTGTGCATACTAGATATTAGAAAAATCAAGCTTGGGCACTCCAAGGGGTGGCATTTAACTTGCATCATGTTACAGGGATAAAGTAACCGGTTTGCACTAGGCTTTATGAGTTAAGCATTTAGCAAATCTCTAAATGGATTCCATTTCTTATCTAACAAATGTCTCTGAGGCCTTCAGCATCTCCACCTTTCCTAACATAAATCAATAGGCATGTTATCTTTCTAGGCCACACAGCTGTTTGCCTTCCTTGGATGAATCTGGAAGAGAGAACAGAAATCTTATAGATAGACCAGCTCCAAAATCAGGCTGAAGGATAAAGGTCAAGATCCAGTTAAGCACACTGGATGTACTTAAAAGATCCTGGGGAATATGAAGCATGAGTTCCTCTTCAAAATATACTACTATGGGTTGCAAAACTGCTTCTTTCCTTTTTCAGAGTTTAAGCTTCATTTACAGTATGTTCATCAATTTCTCCCAAATACAAATTTATACAATCCAAATAGGTTTATCAAAATAACTAGGTAGCCAGATCTATCCTCATCATTTCCTCAATATATGTGTTTTCATAGCAAGGGGGAGAAAAAGCCGGTCACTATGAGGAGAAGCTATTAGGCCATTCTTTAAAAGCAGTTTTAAAAGCAGGTTGAAATGAAGGCAAGGAACCCTTGAGTTTAACAGAGATGGAGGGTAGCTAGAGTTGGGAGGACATATATGGAAAGAGTTCTTCCCAGTGGGAAACCACCCATTTCCCTATGAGAATACAGCACTGATATGCCAGCAATAGATTGTTGACACAAACCAAATGCAGTGAAGATCTAAATCACTTTGGAGAGTATCTGTGAAATTCAGTAGACATATTGCAAGCTGGAAACTATTTTGTTCTCATTCCTCAGCTTTCTTGGCCAGGTTTTTCTTCGTACAATTTAATATATTTCTTCAAACTTCAGCTTTTGTCATAATTTTATAAAACAAACACACGGCAAGCTATAACAGCTGGCAATATGTTCCTGCTGTATCACATCTGTTTTAAAAGGTATTATAAGATACCGGCAATTAGGGAGAATTTTGGTTATGATGATCAGTCTATGATATTTGCTTCCTGATTCATTTGCTAATAAGGTTTGTATATCTTATTTTGGGACTTTCCTTGGAATCTTCAATCACAAAATAGCTCTCCTTTGCCAAATAAGGAATAAAAATACATAGAAGATGATGAGACTGATTTTTGGGCTGGTAAACTTTAAATCTATAGTCCTCTGTCAGAGAAACTGGCAGATACATTTCTTTAGAAGCAATTATTCAGTAGCTCTCCCTAATAAGAATAAGTTTTTAAAATTATGCACACTTTCTAATATGAAAGCCTTTGTCTCATATTATCTCTGCTCCTCTCTAGAATTTCATTTACAGTATATCTTCCTTTCAGAAGTTCTGTTTCCACAATGTACAAGAGCAATTGTCCCATAGTTTTATCATTTTGCCTGTGTGTGTGTGTCTGTCTGTCTGTCTCAGTAATTGTGCCAGCTTAAACTGGTTGCTATGACAGCTGATCCCTATTCACATTGTTACAGATTTACTAAATGGTGATATTCTTATGTACTAGGTGGAGCAAATGTTAAAAACTCTGCTACCTTTCTTTCCTTTCTTCCCACTATATGTCACCACCAATTGCTTTCCTTAATTTAGGAGGAGGCTTCAGGAGGACCTGAATTTTAACATACATCTTGATCAATATATAGATTGGTCAAAAGTCACTCCTAATTTTTTTACATTATACATAAGTACCTTCAAAATAAGCCTGGACAATACCTGACAAAAAGGATGAGGACTTTATAGTGAAACAGAAGTTTAGAAAACACAATCTTTATACCAGAACAGCTAAGGACAAGTTAAAACTGCTTCATCTATGCCTTGGGGATGAGATGACAAATTGGGAATAAGATAAAGGCAACATCATGTGGATATATGGCAGTTTAAAAGAACATCTTGGTGCATAATTGTCCTACAGCTTATAGAACATTCACAAGTTAATTCTGTACCAGATTTGCATAGGACAGGATAAAACTTTTTCTGCATCAGTTCAAAATATTTTGCTCATGAGTTGGAGATAGTATATCTGAGTGTTTTCCCCCTCAAGAGAATGGCTAAGTTCCCATATTATACTAGGCTTTAACTAGCTTATTGAATTACCCAGAAGGGCATAGTTGCCAAAACCATCATGACCAGTATAAATCCAGCCAAGGAATTATAGCAAAAGAACACAGATAAAACAGAAACTCCATGGTATCAACGTAACTTCTTTTTCTGTTTTGTTTGCTTGCTTGCTTGGTAGACTTATACAATTTGGGAGGGGGAGAAACTGCCCCATCCAGGTATTCCTTTTTGCCACCAGTTGGTATCATGATTTGCATATGGACTAGGTACACATGACACACTAAACCAAAAGCAAGCAAAGCAACTGATGGCTTTGTGCAATTTTTGAAAGCAAGAACTGTTATTTACTCTAACACATTTATGCAGATAGTTCAAACTTTACCCTTAGCCCCCCCTCCCCAAAGATGTCCCAGTCAAGTCACTTTGTTTTAATAAGACAGACATTAATCACATAATAGAGGTAACAGGAGATAAATGCTCACTTAGATACTTTAAAAAACAGCTGCAAAAGCTAATTTCATCCTAAACAGAACAAATAGTTTTGGAACAAGACAACAGTTATATTGGATCCTTTCCCCTCCCCTTAGCAGAATTGAGAAGGGGGGAAAGTAGGTAGTTCTCATTCCTTAAGTAAGCTCTCTTGCAGCAGACCAGAACTGGACATAATGGGCGAAAGGAAAAGAAACCAAATTAAAAGCAAGATTTTCTAAAGTAAGCAAGTTTAAATATGTTTCAAATTGCAGACAAAGAAGCCTGCCTTCTTCTCCAATAAAAATCAATACTTACTTTCCTGTAGGCCAGCACTAAAATATATAAGCATGGATATCATAAACATGTCCGTTCTATTCTAAGGGATGGAGAAAAAATGTCATTTGCATAGAAATATACCACAAATGCTTAATTTACATAATATACTAAGCCATAAACTATGATTTATAAACAGGATTTACACAGGATGGTAAGCCCAAACCAATCATATTACAGTTTAGTAAATGTGTAGATCTAAGCAAAAAGTCATAAAAAATATTTTTCAAAAATTATCCTCTATCTGGAATATATGTCTATCCCTGTTATGTATTTTTTTCTCCCCTATCAGCTTATTGATTATATAGCAGTCTTCACCATTCCTACCAGTGGTGAAATTCAGCCGGCTCTATCCGGATTGTGCGATCCGGTAGTGCCGGCAGCAGGAGGTTCCGTCCACCCGCCCAGACATCATCACGTCCCATTTTTGACTCCCTGTGCATGCGCAGAAGGCTCTGCACATGCATAGAGGCGCGCACGAGTGTAGCAAATGCATGCACACACTCACATTTGCAAACCGATTGCAAAGGTAAGTGAATACCCCCAATTCCTACTGTTTAAATCAAACACTCAGCAGTCTTTTACCTATTCTAATACAATTCATTAAATCAATACAATAAATCAATAAAATTGCATGTTAATACTGTAGCAGAATTAAAATACCAACAAGCATCCAATGTGTATTTCCTCCCCCTTGCCCAAATATTCCTTACTGATCTACTTAGTTTTTTCACAACCAAAGTTTAATTATACACACATCTATTTTACAAGCATGATACTTCATTAAAGTAAATGGAATGTGGATGTAGAATGTATAAAACGTATGTTATACATTCTACATCCACATTCCATTTACTTTAATGAAGTATCATGCTTGTAAAATAGATGTGTTTTATATAATTACACTTTATGTTGAATATTTTATTTGAATTTTAATTTACTATAATATCTACCAAAAATTAAATATGCATAGAATATTATTAAAAACATGTCAGTTATTCCAATTATTACTGTTTATGAAAACCAGCATTACCAAAAAGATAATAAAATAATATAATTTTAATATTATAATGAAACCATTTGTTATGATGTAATTCCTGTATATAAACAAAATGTTTGCAATTTTATAAGGAAATCAGGAGTGTTTTTTAAAAGGGGATTATGAAAAACATTACTAGTTAATGAATTGACATAATGAATATATTTTGAATGCATATTATAACTGTAGCTCTGCTTTTAGTTGCTTTTAAAATGGCCCACTATTGTAAACATGAAGTATCTCCAAGACTCTCCAAAATCAAATCAACTACTAGCCGATTACTTGTTAGGTAGAGAACTGCGTAATGACACCATGGTGAATTAAAGAAGCATAGCAGCAATGAAAATGTAGGAATGTTTCTTAAGGCCAAACCTGACAGCAGATGTATCGCCATAAAGAAATATATATAACTTAGCCCTTTTTTGGAAATAAATTATACATGCACTAGATTTGTTTCATCACAGTTTATATTCACATAACAGATTATGCAACAAGAAATAGGGGGAAATAGCAGAATTCTGTGAATGTTTACTTCAAAATAAATCCCATTACATTTATATATTTATTACTATGTACAAGATTATAGTCTAAATACAAGCATTGTTACAGAACAAGGCATGCAAGCCTTTTTTAAAAAGATGCTTGCTTAAATTAGGAATTTAAAGCAAATCTAAGTAAGCAAACTCCCAGATTTTTACTCAGGCAGACTGTGTTCTCATTAACTTAAGATAAGATTGGAAGAAACAAAGAGTCCAGACCTTGAAAACATGTACTTTCCTTGAAGTTAGATATTCACTCTGAAGTCCTCAGAATGTCAGTGAACAGATTTTGCGGGACAGAAAAGAATACTACTTAGGAAGTGCAATTGTTAAATAGCACCACTCTCCTCCACCACTCTGGACTCTTATCAATGATTGAATTATTAAATTACAAAATTATATACACATAGAAATCACACACAGGTTAATTCACTACCAGCACTGTATAGGGTAGGGTAAAACTTTTTCTATATCAGTGGACATTTTACTCATGAATTAGAGGTAGTATGCCCTGAGAGTTATCCTCCTCAAGAGAATGGCTAAGTTCCCACATTATACTAGGCTTTAACTAGCTTGTGGAATTACCCACAAGGGCAGTTGACAAAATCATCATGACCAGTATAAATCCAGCCAATATTAGAGATATAAATAATAAATATGGGAACTTCAACTACACCTATACAGATAGTTGTCGACTTACAACCAAAATTGGGACCAGAACTTCTGTCATAAATGGTTGTGGTCATAAGTCAGACCCAGTTATACAAAAAAAATGTATGGTGGTCATTAAACAAATTATATAGTTAATAAGCAAATCCAGCTTTCCCAATCGGCAATTTTTGTCAAAAAGCAAAAAGGCTGCAACTCAAGATGATGCAGAATGCTGCAAATGGCTGTATATATAAACCAGTGGCCAAATGCCTGAATTGCAGTCGTTACCGTGTGGTGATGCGTTGGTCGTAAGTGCAAGTACAGGTCCTAAGTAACTTTTTCCAAGGCCATTGTAGTTTCGAATTATTAATTGAACAATTATAAGTTGAAGACTATCTGTAGATTTTTTATGATCAGTGTTCTATACTCTTCTATATTGTGTTCTATCAGTATTCTATGAAAAGCATTTACACTACAAGAGTTTTCAAACAGCCTGAAAAAAGGAAAAATTCACCTCTTGAAGTACTCAAAACCAGAACAAGATGAATTTGATTATTTAGAATGATGTTAATTCTTAAAGAAATCAATGCTGCTAAAGAGAAACAGGCATCAACACACAGAAATTGCAATTTAATACACCGATGTACCTACCCTCTTATAAAGGTAACATTTGTAATTTAAAAATTGTCCACATTTCCAGATCAGAATCTTGTAGAACAAAGCACATATTTTGTGGCATTACATCTGGGAGATGACTTTTGACTCAGTCTTATAGTGCATCTGTAGAACAGGGAAAGGTATTCCATAAACCCCCACTGTGTATTTTCTTCCACTCTTTCCCAGCTGTTTGTTACCTCTTACAAACTCTTATCTTCATTTCAGCAGATGGGTCAGCTGATCACGCAAATTTGAAGACTGTTCAACACTACAGAAGAGTTTAACAAGTGGACATGGATATTTAGATATAATTGCTGGAAAAAAGACTTCCACAACGTAAAGGTGTTTCAGAATAAAATAAGGGGGCATGTGCTGTTTTTATTCATTGAACTCCAACTCCTTTTTCCAAATTATGTAATATAATGGTGAATAGACTGGAATAATGGGATATATTTTATTTTTATGTGTAACAAACGTTACTGTTTCAATATTTAATATAGCACTGATTAAGGTAAAAAGCTTACAATTTACTTATAGCAAGAAATGTGGCCTAATGGGCAGTTGGGAGGCAAACAAATTTAATAAATGTGAATGAATACAAACAAAACGTTAGCTATAATATCTAAACTATTAGATTTACATACTACATATACAATCTTTTGAGTACATATAATTTGCAGTTCACATTTTTCTGATAGAAAGGAAAAAACAAGAAAACTAAGATTAAGTACAATTAAAAGTCATAAAAGGGATGCTTACTGGTGGAATGAATTTGACCTAGATTAAGTCTAGTTCTTATATGATACCTTTCCAATGCAATCATATTCATATTTACTCACGAGATAAATGCTATTGTGTGCAATAAAGCTTCTTCATTACTATACTTTTTCCAAATTGCAAGCTTCAGTAATAAAGAATCTCTCATAAAAATCAGGAGCACCAAAAAAAAAAAAAAAATGGGAAAAGGCAGAACAATTGCAGATCTGATTTACTCAGCTGCTAATTCTTGTCACCACAAAAATCACCTGAGCTTTCATAGGTGATTTTTTTCCATATTTTAATATCTTCTAAAAGCAAGGTATTTAATGTAGCATTAAATCATTGTGGTGTATATTAATATTTAATATTAATATTCAGTATTTAATAATACATAAAGTGCAAATTAAGCCAGCTCTGTAAAGAGGCAGCATAATCCTAACTCTATTGAATTTGCAATTTAAAAAATATCCACACAAACAAAATGGATGCGAGCAAATTTTGAAAAGCAGTAATAAAGATTTCTGGAGTAGATAATCTCCCAATCAAATAGAAACAGCGTACTTACTTTTTTTGAATAGCTTCTTGCCTAAAGGTGGGAAAAACACAATGTGAGTTGAAATGAATTTTAAATTGATAAAAAGAATGCTGATTTATTGCTGAGGATCCAGGGAAATCAAACAGACTAGAAATAACTGACATATTTAGATTGTTTGTAATGATGCAAATAAATCTGTGTTGTGAAGAGGACAACTGAGGGCAGTAATTTTTTATGTTGTCCATCAGAGCTCCTTACTTATTTTCTATCCTTTGGGTTGGTATCCAAGAATGCTTGTACCTTGGGCAAAGCGTTCCAGTGTTAGGGAACTTAATATAGCCCCAAAGCTGCATTGGATTGCCCTATCCTACAAAAGTAAGTAGTGGGGCCTTGGAAAGGGATACATTGATTGCATTCCAACCCTCTGGCCTTTGAACCAAATCCTGCCCTTTTTTCTGTTCGTAAACAAGCAAAGGCATGCTATGCTTTACATCCAGAAGACAGAGTGTGATTATTTTTTTTTCATTACCTGGAAAAAGAGGCTTCCCATGCAAATCAACTATGAGGGAAAAGACTTGCTTCCAGCTGTCATGTTCCTGATGGATAGGCCTTATTCATTTATTTGAATGTATTTCTCTGTGAAACAATTCATAGAGCTGCCCATCTTACCAAGATTAGAACTGGAAGCTGGAGTTTCCCAGCACATCCCAGATAATCTTTACCAGGTAAGTCATTGGATACATATGGGATCCTAATATCTGTGTGTAGATTCCATAATGAGGGAAACTGAAAAATTCAGATTTTTTTCCCCCAGTTTGGGAGGGTAGAGGACAAAACAGGAATATCCCTAAAAATACAATTTTCCAAAAATCAGGGACAAATCTTCCTATTCTGCATAGATTTTACTTCTGTAATGCTTCACTTCCTCCCTGAAATAATGCAATAACACTGACATTAAAACATGTAAAATGCTGATTTCTAACCACCACCTTGCAAAACTTATTCTATACCATTCTCAGTTGTATTTTGGCTGTAGTAGGAGAGCTATGTTACTCTATAATAATCAATAATAAGGAGGAGTCTATTAGAATCTTTTCAGAATAACAATGTATCTGACTAAAATGAGAAAATCTTCATAAAGGCTTATGCCCTTTAATAAAACATTTAAATTTGAAACTATACTACAGGGTTTTTTTTGCATTTATTTGCATTTTTAGGGACTAGAAATCCCATCAAATATAGTATGTACGGTGTGTATACTTACTGGTACTGTAGGTGAGTAGTTATAATAGCCATTTTTCTTAAACTCTGCAAAGAGATAGACATGAAGTAAAAGCTTTTTCCCTCAATGAAGTTATCAATGCTATCAACATTTGGCATTACATGATAATGACAAATAATCACATATTAAGTTCGTCTAGCTCTCATAGTATTTGCTGTTTTGAAGAAAACATGGTGTTTTGATAAATCCCTAATTTTAAGATAACTGTTTTCACAACTGTTTTACTTTTTCTAAATGAGATGATGATGGTGACTTAATTAAACTCTTACACAAAATTGTTTTCTCCCACTAGCAGGATTAGCAATATAGACAACAATCTATCTGGGTAACTACCACCATTTGTACATTACAATTCAATACTATAAAAATGAATAATGTACTCATAGAGATTTTGGTTAGTGATAAAGACTTTCCTTGGAAAAAATAGAAAAAAGCTAAATAAACTGTTTGAAAAACGTAAAGCTAGGCATCATTCCAGAGTCTTGCAGAGTCTTCCACAGTCTGATGCCCTTCTACTGTGCTAGACTACAATCCCCATATGCCTAAGGCAAAGGTCACAATAGTAGGTAATTATGAGAGTTAAGAATCCAAACCGATCAGAAAACATCAAACTGGAAAAGGCCTCATTAGGTTGAAGCCTCAAAATGTGGTCTGGGAGTTCAACATGGTATCCATGAGTACCAAAGTGTCGACAGATACAATATATCACAGAAGTGAGTACACCTCCTCACATTTTGTAAATATTTAAGTATATCTTTTCATGTGACAACACTGAAGAAATGACACTTGGCTACATGTTAAGTAGTGAGCATACAGCTTGTATAACAGTGTGAATGTGCTGTCCCCTCAAAATAACACAACACACATCCATTAATGTCTGCTGGGAACAAAAGTGAGTACACCCCTAAGTGATAATGTCCAAATGGGGCCCAAGTAGCCATTTTCCCTCCCTGGTGTCATGTGACTTGTTAGTGGTACAAGGTCTCAGGTGTGAAGGGGGAAAAGGTATGTTAAATTTGGTGTTATCACTCTCACTCTCTCATACTGGACACTGGAAGTTCAACATGGCACCTCATGGCAATGAACTCTCTGAGGATCTGAAAAAATGAATTGTTGCTCTACAGAAAGATGGCCTGGGCTATAAGAAGATTGCCCACACCCTGAGCTGCAGCACGGTGGCCAAGACCATACAGCGGTTTAACAGGACAGGTTCCACTCAGAACAGGCCTCACCATGGTCGACCAAAGAAATTGAGTGCCCGTGCTCAGCGTCATATCCAGAGGTTGGCTTTGGGAAATAGATGAATGAGTGCTGCCACTATTGCTGCAGAGGTTGAGGGGGTAGGGGATCAGCCTGTCAGTGCTCAGACCATACGCCGCACGCTGCATCAAATTGGTCTGCAGCGCTGTCGTCCCAGAAGGATGCCTCTTCTAAAGATGATTCACAAGAAAGTCCGCAAACTGTTTGCTGCAGACAAGCAGACTAAGGACGTGGATTTCTGGAACCATGTCCTGTGGTAAGACCAAGATAAACTTATTTGGTTCAGATGGTGTCAAGCATGTGTGGCAGCAACCAGTGAGGAGTACAAAGACAAGTGTGTCTTGCCTACAGTCAAGCATGGTGGTGGGAATGTCATGGTCTGGGCTGCATGAGTGCTGCCAGCACTGGGGAGCTACAGTTCATTGAGGGAACCATGAATGCCAACAGGTACTGTGACATACTGAAGCAGAGCATGATCCCCTCCCTTTGAAGACTGGGGCGCAGGACAGTATTCCAACATGATAACGACCCCAAACACATCTCCAAAACGACCATTGCCTTGCTAAAGAAGCTGAGGGTAAAGGTGATGGACTGACCAAGCATGTCTCCAGACCTAAATCCTATTGGGCATCTGTGGGGCATCCTGAAACCGAAGGTGGAGATGCACAACATCTCTAACATCCACCAGCTCCATGACGTCATCATGGAGGAGTGGAAGAGGACTCCAGCGGCAACCTGTGAAGCTCTGGTGAACTTTATGCCCAAGAGGGTTAAGGCAGTGCTGGAAAATAATGGTGGCCACACAAAATATTGACACTTTGGGCCCCACTTGGACATTATCACTTAGGGGTGTACTCACTTTTGTTGTCAGCAGACATTAATGGATGTGTGTTGTGTTATTTTGAGGGGACAGCACATTTACACTGTTATACAAGCTGTATGCTCACTACTTAACATATAGCCAAGTGTCATTTCTTCAGTGTTGTCACATGAAAAGATATACTTAAATATTTACAAAATGTGAGGGGGTGTACTCACTTCTGTGATATACTGTACTTATCCCAATGTTGCCCACATTTCCAGTCCATGCTGCTAATTTTTCAAAACAGATCTTTTAATTTCAAAGGTGCAGCAAAATAAGTTTCAAGCATGTAAAAATGTCTCTGAACCTACATAAATCTAGGAAAATATGTTGCTGAAATCCAGTACATTTTTTATGTATATCCTGAAGCCCAGAAAAAAACAACACAAAGCAAAATTAGGTGTAGATGGCAGAGAGAGATTTGATACACTAGATAGGATTTGTTTGTGTGTGTGTGTGTGTGTGAGTGAGTGAGTGAGTACACGTGCGCGCGCACTATGGACCCCTTTTAGACTATGGAGAAGCCTCCAGACACTTTTAGAAAAATATATTTAAATGCATACAATTTAATACATGAATATAGGCTGCATTACAAAGAAAATTTATTAGTTATCAAAGTATTTTTTTAAAAAAACAAGAAACAATAGCAAAAACATAACAGTAATATATGTGAAAATAAAGGATTTTTTTCCCATCCAAGTTCCCACGGCCTCTGAAATCTACCCATGGACCTCAGGTTAAGAATTTAACCTTAAATTAAAGAATACGTGTGGAAATGCATATTGTTTTGTGTTATAATGATTTATCCTAAGTTTATTTATTAAAATGACTAACTGGTATTATGCACAACATAAAAATATTTTCATTTTCAACCCTGAACTTGATATTTCCTTTTCTACATGTCCTGCAACTCCCACAGAGGTATGTATTTAATATTAGCAGACAAGTATTCTATTCCATACTTACATCTTCAGAGTGCAGAATGGCACCCTCTTGCATCACCATATTTCTGGCAGCCTGTCCTAGGAACTAAAAGACATGAAAGTCATAGGAAGAGATATAAACTTTACATTATCCAAGTTAGTATTCTTCCACTGTTATTCAAAGTTGACAATGCAGCTAATAGTGAGCTTTCAAGAGATAGTAAGATTTTGGAATTATAACTTTATGAACTCATATTTAATCCAGAAGCATTAACTTACTGAACAAACATTCCGAACCAAAGGGATTTTCTGAAATTATGTAGAATCTTCATAATAAATAATATATATGTGGATAAGTACTACAGGCTATTTCTGCTGCCTGCCAGTTGCCTGCAATTTGGCAGTTCAACTTTCACCAACTCAAGGCTGACTCAGCCTTCCATCCTTCTGAGGTCGGTAAAATGAGGACCCAGATGGTTGAAGGCAATATGCTGACTCTGTAAATTGCTTAGAGAGGGCTGTAAAGCACTGTGAAGCGGTATGTAAGTCTAAATGCTATTGCTATAAGTGAAACTTCTTGGTATAGTACAATATTTATGGTAATTATTAATTATGCTAATATACATAGTGATTTATAGAAGCCTTTTTTAAATTGACGGTCTCAAATTTCTTGATCATCAATTGGGCTAGTTCAGCAGACAAATCCTGAGGGTAAGCAAACTGTAAATTACTTGTTTGTGAATCAAGGATTGAAGTTTGGGGCTGGTGGAAGACATACCAAGCCAGCTTCAATCTGATGTCCTTCAGATGTATTACATGCAATCCCCACAAACACCTTTGTCATGTAAACAGGATGATGGGAGCTTTATACATCAGAAAAGAATAAAGATATGCTTACATTCAAACTTTCCCAGCAATTCCTTTCTGAAATTACTTTCAGACAAGTTCCAGCAATTGTGCAACACATATCCAGCACCATTCAATATTAATTTCTACTACAGGATCTCAGTGGGATTTACCACTTTTTCAGCTACTTTGCTCAAAGGGGTGTGACAATATTGGATACATACTTGGGTCTTTGGGGCAGAAACAAATAGGCTTAAGAAAGCAACACCAATGAATTTCAAGAATAAAACCTAAGTCTCTGTTCTTTCTTATTAGCTTGCTTGGTTAAATCAGCAGCAGAGCACTTCCACTATACGTATATGAACTTTGTTCTTACAGGCAAAAGGTCTGAACTATTTGAGTTTTAAAATAAAGGTGCTAAGTATAATATCGGATGTCTGTAACTGAGCATCTAAACGTGTCAAAATCATCGGCTCCATCCCCTGACATTTAAGGGGAAGAATCAGTTGACCATCTTTATCCCATGAAACTAAGCGGCTTTAGGTCAGTCCTAAGTTTTCTAGCACTACAGTATTTCCCTTAAAAAGGCTGCCCGCCAAAGCATTCAAAGAGACTACAAATCCCACCCTACACCGCAAGCCTCTTGTACCAACTGAAACCCAGTTCCGAACTAATATTTGGAGGGGAGCCACATAGTCTCACTTACCTCAGCGCTTCGGGAGCCCTTGAGCACCTGTTTAGTGAGAGCGATTATATCCGTACCGCAGTTGGTCACCTTTTCGGTCAGCAATCCTTTCACCGAATGCCCAAATCGTGCCTGAACATCCACTGCCATCCCTGCCGGAGTTACTGCCATGTCGCTATCAATAATCACAGAGGAAGCGAGAGAACCGCACCTACGGATAGAAAATAGGGTCAGAAAACATAGAAAAGCACCCCGAACGGGTTTTGGCAAATAAGGAATTGATTGCTCTTAGCTTATTCCATCTTACTGTAGTTCTTATTAGCTTTTCTGATGCAGAAAAGAAAGCTGCTTGCTTTTTATGTTATTTGCACAATACAGGAAATACTTTGTATATTTTTTAAAAATGAAAATATTTGTTTTAACCGTTTGCCCCAGAATTACTTAATGAAAAGCTAAAGACAAAAAAACTGATCAGTTCTCTACTCCAGAGTACTTAGTATACATCCCAACAGCAAGTGTGATTGCTTTTGATTCAGCATTTGGATTTGCACAATATATTGTATTAAATTGTTGCCTAGTCTATAATTTATAGTGTTTGACTTCAGCTACCGGCGTTAGTTCAGTATGATATATAACCATCATTCTGTTTGATGTATAATTCTAATAAATTGGGTTAATTCAGTAATCATTGTTAAGTAAGTCATCACTCGGGGAAGTGTTTTCCTCAACCCTCTATCCACAACTTTATTGTAATTGTCATTTACTACACAGAAAATGCGAAATTCTGCTGCAGTCAAAGCCAAAAGTAATTCTGTATTTGCAGATGCATCATTGGGTTGTATAAATTGGACAAAGGGTACTTTAATGTTTGAGAGTATTTTAAACTCTTTTAACTTTCTACAATTGTATATGTTGAAAGGACCTATATCAGTGATGGCGAACCTTTTAGACACCGAGTACCCAAACTGCGTGGCAAATCCCCCAATTGAAATGTGCGCGTGCATGCACAAATGTGCATGTGTGCGGACATGCACGAACATGCGCATGCACAGACATGTGCACACATGCACGGATATACGCAGATATGCGTGCATGTGCAGCAGAGACCCAAAGACCAGCTGGCTGACAGGAGGCAGGGCATCCCAACACTGGCAGTGTGGCAAGAGGTAAGATCTTTTTCTTTCATGGGCTTCCGTTTCATCATCTGCAGGGAAACAGAAGCTCACGAAAGAAATGCCACAGAGATCTGACCTGGGGTGATGGTGTGTGTGCCAGCAGAGAGGGCTCTGGTGCCACATCTGGCACGTGTGCCATAGGTTCGCCATCACGGACCTATATACACAGAGGACCACCATGGATTTTTAAAAAGGCACAAGCATCTGTTTCACAAAATGCACATAAGTTTGTTTCTACATTCTACATTTTTTTACTTTATGTATTCATTATCCATTGTAGAGGATAAGGAACTGATTTTCATGAGGTTTCTGTTTGGATTTTTGTTTGGTCATAACTGGAACCGTAAGATTTTAGTTAGCAAATCTTGATTAGTTAAAAAAAATGGTGATCAAAACACCTAAGCAGTGTTTAAATTTTAATTAATATGATTATTTTATAACACATATTAAATAATAAAGAGAAAATAATGAATTTACAATAAACATATACCAACAACTGTATTGGTCATTCTTGGCGTTTTTTTGTTGTTAGTTGGGAAGTCATGTCCGACCCATCGCGACCCCATGGATAACGTACCTCCATATAGGATAAGCAAGGATTTGACTAAGTTTGAAAAGGAAATACTATTCTACCTATAAAAAGAGCTTGACTGGAGTGTATAAGCAGTTTCTAGAAATAAAAGAGTAACAGTTAATCTAATTGGTTTCAGTAACTATCTCCTAAAGCTGGTTCAGCATGCTCCCGCACACTGGATGGCACATATCATCTGGACCCTCTTAGGGGTATTGTCTATGTATCTACTGATAATTTCTACCTGGTGAATTGTATATATGAAGTCAGCATGCCCAGCCACTACGAGTGTGTTATTCACACTTTCTGCATTCACAGTAACTTTGAAGGCATGAACAAACCTTACGTGTAGATCAAATCAAATCTTTATTATCATAAAGAAAGTTGGGTACAATTAGTAATTTTAAAAAGCTAAATATATATATATAAGATACATTGAAATCTAATTTTAAAGAAGTTAAAAGTATAAAACAATAGATATAAAACCAAGTCACAGTATAGAACACTCTTGAACATGAACCAAATACTCATTAGTTTATAGCATCGCTTATCATCTGATAGATTTTAAGTGCTGCTGGGCAGAATCTGGTAACATATGTTGTACAGTAGTGGCCAAAATTGTGGAAACCTTTTGGGAAAAGTGTATTTTTGAGGTTTGATGGCTAATAACACCACTTTTTAGGAGGAGTTTCAAGATAATCATATTCCACTGCTGGAATGGCCTGGAAATAGCCCAGACCTTAACACAATTGAAAATTTATGGAGCCGACTAAAGAAACTTGTTAGTCAGAAGCAACCCAGCAATACTGTAAAACCCAGTTAATAGAAGCAATCATTCAATCTTGGTTTCACATTATAACAGCTGCAGAACTAACAGACTAAAAACTAAAAGTCTTGGTTCACTCCATGGGAAGATGTTGTAAGGCTGTAATTCATGCTAAAGATTACCCAACTAAGTATTAACTGACATGGTGATAATTTTTGTATATCTCATTTTTTTTTACATTTCACTTTTCTTCTTTATACTGTAACTGCTATTCTAATAGCAAATCCTTCATAAAAGTTATTGCATTACATTCTTGATTAAATCATCTTTCCATTGATATACAATTTTATGGTACTACTCCAAAAAAAGTGGTGTTATTAGCTAGTTTTAGAAAATACACTTTTCCCAAAAGGTTTCCACAATTTTGACCACTACTGTAGTTGGGTGACTATCTGCAAACAGCAAGGAGGTACCAAATTGTCCTGTATACTTTAGGTATCTATGCAGTAATGGTGAGATGGGGCTAATACAAATGTTTCTATAATACAGGCAGAGTCCAGTGGTTAGGTACTTGGAGATTAGTTAAGTATGCCACTTAACATGTACTCAGAGTACATGTTGGATTCATTGACAATAAAGGCTAGATCCAATTAGCGCTTTGTGTCTGCTACATGCTGTTTAATGTGTGTTTTGGCCAAATCCTGTGCCATGCTGAGTAGAAGACCTGGACAAGATGACCAGGGGTCAGTGGGCGGGGCTTCCCACCAGTTTTACTACCGGTTCTATAGAACTGGTCCAAACCGTGGGCAACCCACCACTGAAAAAGATCCATGGACAAGATTTTAGTTCCCACTGCCTTTTTTCCATGTGAAATGAAAATCATTCCTCGTAGTTAATAGAGCAAGACCAAGGTGGGGGGGAAAAGGGTATTTTGAACCAAAGGTTTAATATGGTCACCCACACTCTGCCCTCCCATTTTCATGAGGCCTGTCTCTAGTCTCAGAATGGCATTAGAGACACATTTTGGGACTTGTAGGACCAATCTTAAAAATTTGGATTGAACAAATTCTAATGGTACAAAATTGGAGAAGGGGCCCAACTGGGTTCGCTAAAGAAATTATATTATTGGCTTGGCCTCAACCAACTTGCTTCAGATCTCCTAGGGCTAAAATCCTGTAATTTCCAGGGATGAGTTTTTTGGGTGAAATGATCCCTAGTCCCTGCAAACCATGACAACCCAGGCCAATTCAAGACAGTTCACAGGTATATTGATCTGCACAATCTTGGATGAGATTGTTGATCATAAATATACTTCTACAAATTAATATAGCCTTTATCAGCAATGTTTTCTGCTTAGGAGTAAATAGTGGACAGAGGAATCTGGGAGTAGATACACTGAAGCAAACTGATTAATGGCAGGAAGAAAAATATGCTTGTGTTTGGGCTTATTAATTGAGCATGAAAATATAATTGTTGTTGAAACAGAATTGCTCCTGAAGTTGCAGTAAACCTACTGGGAAGTCACCAATTTTGGAAATCACCAGAAAATTACCATACTTCATTTTTATGATATGCTGATAGAGAGTCAATACCATAGTTAAGAGCCTTTAGTGAAACAATGACTAAAGTGAAACTGAAAATTTTGTTAACTGTGAGATATGCATGCATTTCAATTATACCTTTAAGCATTATGTTTGGATTAGCATTAAATCCCATAGTTTACAATTGAGAAAGCCTTATCTGATTGCAAAAGAAGCCATCTACTAACTACGTAGTAGGCATTGTGAAATATTGTCATGCTTTGCTCATAGACAAGGGTCTATGCACCAAGATCAGAATTTCCATTGAACAGAAACCCCTGTGATTCTATTTTCTGGTATGATTTCTTTTTTCCCTTTTTTTAACTGGCAATATAGATGTGGTAGCTCAGTGGCTAAGATGCTGAGCTTGTCAATTGAAAGGTCGGCAGTTCAGCAGTTCGAATATCTAGTGCCGCGTAACGGGGTGAGCTCCTGTTACTTGTCCCAGCTTCTGCCAACCTAGCAGTTTGAAAGCACATAAAAAATGCAAGTAGAAAAATTGGGCCCACCTTTGGTGGGAAGGTAACAGTGTTCCATGCACCTTTGGCTTTTAGTCATGGCGGCCACATGACCACGGAGACTCTTCGGACAGCGCTGGCTCTTCAGCTTTGAAACAGAGATGAGCCCCGCCCCCTAGAGTCGACTAGCTCTAGGAGGAATGACTAGCACATATGTGCGAGGGGAACCTTTACCTTTACCTTTATAGCTTTCACGTTTGGTTAGTGCAGCTACCTGCTTTCCAGGAAGCTGAAGCCTCTCTCTGTTTCATTTATTTCATTTATTTATTAGATTTATATTCCACTTTTATTACTTTATAAATAAAGTAGCAAACAAATATAATACTCCTTCCTACAACTATTTTCCCCACAACAAGAGTCTTGTTTTTCTGTTCTGGGGTGGGCTGAGAGAGACTAATTGACCCAAAGATTCCCTGCTAACTTTCATGCTTAAGGCCAGACTAGAACTCATAGTCTCCTAGTTTCTAGGCCAGCACCTTAACCACTAGACCAAATTCCTTCTCTTTAGTCTTTCTGAAGAAAGCAGTATCACAACATTGTACCACAAGTCCCACACTTTTGATTGTGTGACACCTTATAATATTGGTATTACTGCAACAGTGCTTATATCACCCTGATCTCCACTGCCCCCGCCCCCACTCCCAGTGGACATTATTGCTGCTTTCGGGAGTATGTAAGTCAAATTAGAAGAGCCAATTTTATGTCCAGTCAGTTAAATCATATGCAAGCGTGATGGGCAGTTTAGCAATTTGATAGATAAATAAATAAAATAAAATGAATATAGGTAGTCCTCAACTTAAGATTCATTTGGTGACTGTTTGAAATTGCAGCAGTATGAAGTGATGTATGACCATTTTTCAGAGTTACGACCGTTGCAGCATCCCCATGGTCACATGAGCAAAATTCAGAAACATATTTATGGAGGTTGCAGTATCCCGGCATCATGTAATCACCGATTGCAACCTTCTGACTAGCAAAGTCAATGGGGAAGCCAGATTTACTTAACAATTGTGTTACTAAATTAACAACTGCAGTGATTCACTTAACAACTGGCAAGAACGGTTGTAAAATGGGATAAAAGTCACTTTTCAACTTTCTTGCTTATCAACAGAAATTTTGTGGTCATAAGTCAAGCATTACCTGTAAATAAAACCCTCGTCTTCCATCTAGTGTCTACCACAACCACACTATGACTTGCTGGAAATCAAACAGCTTTGAATGTCAAGTGAAGTTTGACATTTCTGGCCATCATAGTAGATGTCTTTAACCAAAATCAGCTCTTCCTGATTATTAAGGATTTTTTTACTGCTACTTTTGTCCCTGTTCAGAACAGAAACCAGATGGGTGAAGCTGTCTCTTCCTGTAGAAGAGAAGTCAGGCAAAGGAGGTAGAAAAGGGTCTCTTTTACTTCCTTCTACATAACAGAAGATGGATGAACAGCAGACGGGCAATGCTCCATCCTGGGAAAGTTATAAATGGCGATCACGTGACCACAGGACTCTACAACCGTTGTAAATATACGCCAGTTATCAACAACTGAATTTTGAACATGTGACCATGGGGGTGCTTACTTTTTCCAACAGTTACTTTTTTAGAACTTCTAACAGTCATTAAAGAAATGATCATAAACTGAGGATACCCCTACTATTATGCATTTTTATTGCTAGTTGCCAGTGTATTATTGTATCTATTTGCATCATTCTGTTTTTGTTCTTTTTATTGTTAATACTGTTACTGTTGTTATCCTGAGGAGTTTTAGGAATATTGAGGCTCTTTTTAAAAATATAGAGTATGAATGTTAATATTGTATAAGAAAAGTAAAAAAAAACCCTTGTATTTCTTGCAAGGACACACATTTTTTTGATTTATTTAGTTCGGGTCAGTTCAAATGAGATGCAGCTTGCTCTTGATTTCTTGGCAGGCAGCAAGGCTAATTGCTCAGATTGTATTATCTGCTAAAGATTAACCAGCATCAAGGCAAGGTGATGTTGCTAGGACCCCTTATAAAAGTCCATATATAGGCTAATGCAGAGAGACTCCTTCATTTGGCTTCTTTTTTTCTGGATCGCAGGCCATTTCTCCAGGCACCTGAGAGACAATGATGATTCTCTTGGTTGGCTTGTTCCTGATGCTGGCTGTCCTGTCATTCTGGAGAGTAGCAAGAGGAAAGCTGGACTCCAAGCTCAAGTATCCCAGAAGCCTTCCCTCCCTGCCAGTTATTGGTAGCCTGTTGCATTTAGGTGGCTCCAAGCAGCCCCATCTCTTATTTTCCAGTCTGCAGCAAAAATACGGTAGTGTCTTCTCCCTATACATGGGTTCCCATTACACAGTAGTGATCAACGATTATCTTCATGCCAAGGAAGTGCTACTTAAAAAAGGGAAGATCTTTGCTGGCAGACCTCGAATGGTAAGCAAACTATCCACATTAATATCTAATCTAGGCTAGGAGTTAGTTTCTGGCTCTTGATACAGCTTCAATCAATGCCAGGGCCTAGAAAACAGCAGACTGTGAGTTACAATCCTGCCTTAGGCATGAAAGCTGGCCAAGTAAGTTTGAGCCTGTTAGTCTCTCTCTCAAGCCAATCCATTTCTCAGGGTTGTTGTTGTGGAGAAAAGGGAGGAGGAGGAAGTATTAGGTATGGTTGCCATCTTGAGTTACAGTTACAAATGAAATAAACAAATTTCAGTTAATTTAAATTTCTTAGATAAGGTTGTCCGAATAATTTATTAGGAAACTTTAGAAACGAATATTCAGCTGTTGAAACTCCCAAAATGCACTGAGAACAAATTAATAAATTAATGCAAGTATCATTTTATTATGAGCTTATTATTTGAAAGTATTCTTCAGTCTCTTTGCTGTTGACTTGTATCACTTTAGAATACTTTAAGTAATTGTTTTTATAAAATATATTACATGACTGCATAATTTATTTCAAGGAATTGTGAAAAAACTGAGAAATAACACTAGAATATGGATATAGTTGCTATTAAGACATATTGTTCTTTCAGCTATGTGATTTATAATTCTTTTTATGAGCCATTCAAATGCATCACTTGGATATGTGTCCTCCACCCCCAATTTAGAGATATTTATGGAAAAAGTAGTGTAAAGACACATATAGTTTGAAATGCTTACCTGCTCTCTCTAAAGAATTAAACCCAATATTTTTCTTTGCTCTGAGATCATCCTATTCAGAAAACCAACTATAGGTAAACCTCAGATCAAAATAGTTCATATTGAAGATGGTTTCACTCCCATTTATTGTTTATTTGTTTAATACCCTACCATTTCTCCAAAAGTTCATAATGGTGTACAGCACACTGTAGTTCAAACTCCACCAGGAAAGATATTGCTCTTATTTCTTCTATGCTAGCTCTAGGTCTCACTGAGGTAATATATTTGCACCTGAGTTTATAAATTTGGACTGCAGAGATTATATGTTTTTCCATAACCGCCACAAAGTTAAGAACAGAAGAGGCATTAGACTCGTGATTTTTCAAATCACGTACTATCCTTTGCTCTTATCTTGGAAATAGCACATTGAAATAGCTTTCATTAATTTCTCTGTCTTTTAAATCCATCTTATTTGATGGTTACCATCACATCAACAAAGGGAACAAAATCCTGTAATGTGCTACATTATGTGAAGAAGTGCTTCATTCTGTGTATCTTGAGATCCCCCTCTCCCCTCCTTTTTTTTTTTTTTTTGATCCCTTCCAGTCAATGTTGATTCCTGGTGACTGCCTGGACTATCCTGGCAGTTTTCCTGGCAAGATTTTGGAAGTGGTTTGCCATAGTCTGCTTCCTAGAGCTGTGAGAGAAGACTAGCCCAAGATCACCCATTTGGCTTTCTGGAAGTTGATGGTGGAACTAGAACTCACAATCTTTTGGTTTCTAGCCTCATGCCTTAACCACTAATTCCAAAGTATCCTTTGATCATTCTCTATTCAGCTTTATTCAGTGAAACCAGGTTCCAATATTGCAAAGGAAGTGGGGAAGCATTTTTCTGTATTCTTTATATTCGGCATAACTGAATACATCCCTCCCATTGCCCATCCTCTCTTATCTGAGCAAAAAGCTCCCTAACTATTGTTTTCTGTAAATGTCTTTTAAGACCATTGCCACCGAATGAATTAGATGCATAAGTAATCATCCAAGGCAGCAATGAGATCATTGGGGAAGTGGTATACTGTGGTATCATTGTGCTCTGGAAAGAGGTCCTAAAAAGGCATCTAGTGTGACTAAAAAGGCCAATTTGAGAGTGGCAATCCCTTCCACACTGAGGGAAGACATTCTGACATTCTGTCCCCTGCCCAGCCCCCAGAGTTCGCTGGTTCCCCGACTGTCTCTTTGCCTCAGCCTGCCAAACAAGTATCTCTTCGAGTTGGAGAAGGCCATGCTGCATCTATAGCCTCCAAGCTGAATGATCGGAGGTCAAGGTTTCCCAGTTGTTAATGTCCATTCCCAGGGCCTTTAGGTCCCTCTTGCAGATATCCTTATATCGCACCTGTGGTCTCCTTCTGAGGCGCTTTCCCTGCACTAATTCTCCATACAGGAGATCTTTCGGAATCCAACCATCAGCCATTCTCATGACATGCCCCAGCCAGCGTAGACTTCGCTGTTTCAATAGTGTATACATGCTAGAAATTCCAGCACGTTCCAAGACTGCGCTATTTGGAACTTTGTACTGCCAGGTGATGCCAAGAATTCGTCGGAGACAGCGCATATGAAAGGTGTTCAACTTTCTCTCCTGATGTGCGTAGAGGGTCCAAGACTCATTGCAGTACAAGGGTGTGCTCAGGACGCAGGCTCTATAGACCTAGATCTTTGTATGTTCTGTCAGCTTCTTATTAAGCCATACTCTCTTTGTAAGTCTGGAAAATGTGGTGGCCGCTTTATCAAAACATTTATACAGCTCAGTATCTAAAGAGAGTGTCAGAGATAGTTGAGCCGAGGTACACAAAGTCATGGACGACCTCCAGTTCTTGTGCACAGATTGTAATACAGGGAGGTGAATCCACGTCCTGACCCATGACCATAGTCTCTTGAGACTGAAGGATGGGGTATACTATATATGTCTTGTGTTTTTCTTCCTTCCAAATGTCAATCAAATGATAATCTCACTGAATGCATTATAAGGTGTTCTGATGAAAACTCAGTTATTTCTTCTCTTCCTCTGCATCCTCCTAGGTTACTACAGACTTGTTGACCCGGAATGGAAAAGACATTGCCTTTGCTACTTATAGTCCAATGTGGAAATTTCAGCGCAAGATGGTACATTCTGCACTTTCCCTGTTTGGTGAAGGATCTCAGGCTCTGGAGAAAACTAGTGAGTTTCCCACAGAGTAGTGAAGGAGCTCCAAACCAGGAAGAGAAACACTAGCAATGTATTTGTAAATGAAGATTAGTTGAACCTACTATTTTCAGCTGAAGGAACATATTATCTAAATCAAGGACACCTGCAGGTTAGATTAAAAAAGTCAGGATGGTGGCTGAGACCATGCAATTATGGCCACTATCTTGACTTTTTTTTAACCTATCCTTTGGACACCTCTAATTTAAGTGTTATGATACAGGCTTCAACACTGGTTGGCTGCCTATTGAGTGTTTTGTTTTAAAGCCAATGTTCCCATCCTGGAAATTTTATACATCATTATCATAGTGCATGTATCTTAAAGACTGTTTATTTATATTGTTTGCATGAAGAATAACCGAAACTGCATAATAACGTGGTATGCATCCAGGACAGATATTTAAGTCCTGGAAGTGTAAAAGATAGGTAGATAAAAAAAAATGGAAAAACTAAAAACTTATAACAAATATTTAACAAACATCTAGCAAATGTTTAGTCATATAAATTTATAGCCACCTGAAAAAAATCTAATCAATTATAATCTGAAACATGAGCAAAGAAAGTAACTACATTTAGTTTAAAACTGCCTGCATCTTATAACCTTGGCAGTTAGTTTATTCTGGGATAACAGTTGTTCTTGAGTAGAATGGATATCATAGTTTTAATCCAAACTTTTATTTATTTCAGGTAAGAATTATGACATTGATATGATCAGTTTGCTTATATGAATATACTTGGTTAACACAAAGAAAAGAAAATAATTTACTTTGCTTTCTCTGGCCTTTTTATATACTGAAATTACCTGGGAAAATATTTATCTGCAAGTTGATGCTCTTTCTGAGAGCTGCAAAAGAGGAGGTAAAACAAGATATACATTGTATTTTCAAACAATGAGTAGAAAAAAACATGGTTGCTGGAGCAATGGGCTATAGACTTATTGAAATGCCCTGCTATACTATGTAAGGCAGAATAAAGTTCAATAGAACTTAATGTCCATCAAATGTTCTAGGCTACATTACATGGCACATTTACTTTTTGTAACTTAATAATGGTTTATTTAATTCAATTTTGGGAGTTCATATGACACATAAAATTAGAGCAGCACAGTGGCCTAGAGGTGAAGACACTCGCCTCTCACTTGGAAGGTTAAGAGTTCAATCCTAGGCAGTGGCAGATGTTTATCAGAGCCCAAAGAGCCCTGATAAACATCTGCATAGGCATCAGGAAGGGAATGGGGCCACTAGACACTCAGCTCCACCTCCACCCCGAATGCCCCAACTCCACCCCGAAACAAAGAGATTAAAGAGTAGTAAAAAGAAAAAAAAAGACACATAAAGTTAAGTAGGGTTGGTTCATTTGTTGTTCACTATGTCATGTAAACATAGCCTTACTATAGTTCGCCTTTATTATATCTGGGGCATTAAAATCGGAAGTGATTGATTTGTCCACAGTGAAAAATTAATCAGGTGGAAGATATCTCCTGGATAATCAGTGTTAATCTTGGGGACCTATCTACAGGTATATATTCTGGGTTAAAATACACTGCTCAAAAAAATAAAGGGAACACAAGCAGAAGACATCCGAGATCTAAATGAATGAAATAGCCTTATTAAATACTTTGTTCATTACATACAGTAGTTTTGTGTTCCCTTTAGTTGTTTGAGCAGTGTATAAACTACTGTATGTAAAGAATAAAGTATTTAATAAGGCTATTTCATTCATTCAGATCTCGGATGTCTTCTGCTTGTGTTCCCTTTATTTTTTTGAGCAGTATATTTCTGTTTCTCCCTAATTACCGTCTCCATTCTTCCTGTTTCTAAAAGAATTCTTTCTTCTTGCATAGATTTGCTCTCTTGTGCTTTTCTTCCAGTCTCTCAACAAGCAACTTTTTTGTGTGCAACTTTGAGTGCTACAGAGAATTCATCTTTGGACCTGGGTCCTGAACTAACACGTGCTGTTACAAATGTAGTGTGCTCCCTTTGTTTTAATTCATCCTACCAGCTTGGAGATCCTGAGTTTGAGTCCATGCTTCAATATAGCCAAGGCATTGTGGACACTGTGGCTAAGCAGAGCATGGTGGATATCTTCTCGTGGCTTCAGGTGAGAGATTTGAAGGAGATGAGAAACAAAGTTCAAACAAAAAATATGATTTGCAATTAAGATAGAGATTGTGATTATGGCTGTTTCTCTGCCCACCACAGTATTTCCCGAATAAAGATTTGGCTATGCTGAAGAAATGTATTGAAATGAGGGACAAGCTCTTACACCAGAAGTTTGAGAAACATAAAGTAAGTGTCTACATTTAGATATTTATAGGCTAATCATACTATCCCTTATAATGGTGGATCACAAAAACTAGATTTTATTAGTAGCATCAAAGTTATCATGTGGCCTCAGCTCTGTTCCCATAAAGATCCCTAGTAATGCCAAAGAGAAATATCAAATACTTTATTTATTTGAACCATTTATTTGAACCTTTTTCATTCAATATCAGCTATATGTTCTTCATCTTTATATTCTGTAAGCCACCTTGAGTCGTCATGGGTGAATAGGCGGCAATACAAATCAAATCAAATCAATAAATCAATCAATCAATAAATCAATCAATCAATAAATAAATACCATCGCTGTTTTGTAAATGTAAATGAATTATGTTCATGGCATAAATTTTGACCAATCAGTCTCTTTCTCAATCTCATCTTTTAAGCAATTTTAATATACTATGAGCTTTTTAGCTTTATAAAATGGCAGAGATTGTGGAAATTAAATCGTTTATAGAAATAGTAGGTGGAGTTATGCAAATAAGCGAACATAATGCTGGGTTGGATTGAAGTCTCTTTTCTCTCCCCTGAGTAACCATACTGCTCAAGAGTTTCTCTGGGACAAAGAAGGGAAGAAGCCAATGCTGGATGAGGTGGAGGCCAGGCAAGAGAAGCCACTGCTTTGCTCCACAAATAACGTGCTATGTATGCTATCTTGAGCTCTTGGAAGAAAAGTGTGATAAAAATTCAACATACAAATACATATTGGAAATGCTCTAGTATGGCAGGCAAATCCACTAAGTAATCTTCCTAGTGGTGTCCTTCAATCATCACCATTATCAATTCTCATTTTCTCCTTCCAGGAAGCGTTCAGCAGTGATTCTGTTAATGATCTAATGGATGCACTTCTGAGGGCCAAATTGAACATGGAGAACAACAATAAACATCTATTTTGTGAACAAGAACTAACAGATGACTACTTACTCATGACAGTGGCTGATATATTTGGAGCTGGTGTTGAGACTACAACAACTGTGTTGAAATGGATTGTGCTCTATCTCCTATATTACCCAGAGGTAGCAGCTTCTCCTGTCCTGTCTATTATCTCTGAAAGAATTGTATTGACTATGAGTAATATGAACAAAGGAAACAGATAACTACACTGAGTTCTTCAACCGAGATCCTTAATTAAGAGAAACTGATTCTTTCCATCACATTTAGACACTGTCATTAGCAGAGGTCATTAATGGAATTCCTTTATTTTATTTATATTTTTCAGAGGTGGGCTGCAACCTGTTCGGACTAGTTCAGGCGAACCGGTTATTTTTTTACCAGTTCGGAGAACCGGCTAATCCCACCTCTGGCTGGCCCCGCCCCACACCGCCCCTCCCAGGAGTTTCCCCATGCGCCATGCCCCTTGGCTTTCAGGGTGGTGCAGGCTTTCCAGGCCCAAAATGGGTCACGGGGGGGCATCATGCGGCCCACCCACGCCCCATTTTGCATGATCATTACTGTGGGGTGAAATGGGAATTTTGCATTATGATTGCTCATAAGTAAGTAGGAACCAGTAAAAGGGGAATGGAAAAATCCCTATCTGTAGAGCAGCGTTTTTCAGTCCTGGCAAGTTTAAGATGGACGAACTTCATGTTGCCTTGGGAATTCTGGGAATTGAAGTCCATGCACCTTAAAGTTGCCCAAGTTGAGAAGCATGGGTCTACACTAGAGTTTAGGATTTTCCATTCTCGTTTTATTTAGAATTTGGTGCAATTAAATAAATCAGTTGTGGTTTCGTTAACAAATAGTGATTACAGCGATAAGAACCATTATTTTTGTAAGAAACTGAAATTAAATGTTAATCTGGGCTTTGATGATTAAATAAGGGATTATGGAAATAATGTAGACAAATGTTAATTTTAGAGTAAAAGTTTGATATATTTTTTTACTTATATCTGTACCAAAGAAAGTTGGAAGTCATTCTTTTTCAGTTTTCCTTCTTTTCCTCTCTTTCTTTTTTACACTTTCACTTTTTCTTTCCTGAGCCTTTTATTTTTTCAAATCTGTTTTTATTTATTTGTCCCTTAGCTTTGTATTTTTTGATGTATAAAGGATCAAATATTCAGCCATCATAATTCTACATTCCTTATTTGCAGAAATCATATCAAAATTTAGAATGAAATCCACTGGGAGCCATCTCATATAATGCAGACTCTGAGTTAGGGGTGAAATACTACCGGTTCGCGTTGGTTCAAGTGAACCGGTAGTAATAAAAGCTACTGTTTGGGCAAACCAGTAGTAAAAAAAAAAGCTACTGGTTTGTCCGAACCAATATTTCTGACGATCAGCTGTGCCGCATGATTTATATTAGCTAGAAAGCAGGAAATCCTGCTTTCTTGCGAATCTAATTGACGTGGCACAGCTGTACCCCCCCCCCCACTGTTCTACTTATAATGATCAAATCTCAGAAACTACTTAACCTGCACGATCTATGGTTGCATAGAAGAGTTAGAGCACCTTCCTCATGCATTTGAGGAAATGGGTGTAAGACCATCAATAAGGTATGGTGGTCCCCCCCCCCCCATAAAAGATTTTATATAGTGTTAGTAAAACCTTGAAACTGATCCTAAAGATCACAGAAAGCCAATGGAACTCCTGCAATTCAGGCTGATAAAACAGCATTCTGGGAGGCCTAGATCACCTGTTCTGCTACATTTTGCACTGCCTGAAGTTTCTGGATTTATTTCAGGGGAGACACCATCTAAAGTGAAAGTCCACATAGTCCAGTGTGGTAATATTGCCTTGAGGCATGCCGAGCAAGACTGTCTTTGGTCCTGACTAAAAACAATGTTTTGGAATCAAATAGTATTTTCTGTTTCCAGAGTTTTATGATTTTTATGATTAAAAATACTCAAGCTGATTTCTTCCCATTGTTGAACCACTGTCTAGGTCACAAGGCAATTCCTCCACATCTGTCATGAACTAATCTGCTTGATTCCTTCCTCATTTCTCCAGGTACAACAGAAGATCCAAGAGGAACTGGATCAAAAAGTTGGTTTTAATAGACATCCTGTACTTGCTGATCGACAGCATTTGAATTACCTGGAGGCTACCATTAGTGAAGTTCTGCGTATTCGGCCGGTTGCGCCACTTCTTATCCCTCATGAGGCACTGGCAGATACAAGGTGAGGAGGATCATTTCCAATAGTGGGAGTTGATGAGGAAGAAGACTTTCACTAAAGAAAATGGGTTTTTTTTCTCTGCAGCATTGGGGAATATCATATCCCCAAGGGAACTGAAGTTGTAATCAACCTGTGGTCCATTCACCATGATGAGAAAGAGTGGGATAAGCCAGGGAAATTTAACCCAGGTGGGTGTACCACCATTCTTATTCTGTGTGTATAAGGATGAGTGGGATTTGCCATTAAAATTCTTTTATTGTCATGAAGGGCTGCTTTTTAAACATAAATTTCTATTAACTTTCTACCCACTGCCACATTCCTCAACCCAATAGCCAGTAAAGAACTTCTTTTCAGATTCCTGCTCATCAGAATTTTTTCCTCCAATATGACCCTTCCTTGCTACAATTATAACTACTACAGTATATATACATTTCTTTTCCCTAGACTGCCACCATGAGTGATAATGTAATACAGTATTTTGGATATTTAGAGAATCCTTGTTTAATTATAAATTTGGGAATGTCTAGCCAACTACTCCTATTCTTCATTATTGAGTTTGCCATGTTTTCTAGAAAATGTTTCTACTCTTGCCTCACAGATCGTTTTCTGGATGAGGGTGGGAACCGGATCTATTCTCCCTCACCCAGTTTCCTCCCCTTTGGGGCTGGTATCCGTGTTTGCCTGGGAGAAACCCTGGCCAAGATGGAGCTGTTTCTCTTTATAGCCTGGATCTTGCAAAAATTCTCACTCAGTGTTCCTGAGGGAGATACACTGCCTGAACCAGAGGGTAAATTTGGAGTTGTGCTTCAAGTACCAAAATACAAAGTAAATGCTACTTTGCGAGAACCTTGGAAAGAAAAAGTAATAGAGCAATAATACTTTTTGAGTCTCAAATAATCTAATAGAAGACAAATAATTGTTTTAGTTGAATCTGTAAAGTTAAGATAAGTTTAGATTAAGAGATACAACAATAGGATCCACTAGGTTCAAAACAGAAAAGACATTAGAACTCGAAACTATTTTTCCCAATAAACTGGAGGTGTTGCAAGGTAGAATTGGTAGGATGGTTTTTTTTGCCATGGGGGAATGCTATAACATCAACAATTCCCTATATATTCAGAAGCAAGGTCATCTAAACTGTCGCACATAATCCTTAGATTTTGAAATAAAAAATACAAATCATGATTTTCAAGAAAAAAAGATGTATTCAAGAAAAAAGATTGAAGCCCATCTTTAAGAAAGACAGAATATTAACACCTCTTTTTAGAACGATGCAATGTGAGAAAAGCAACACAACCATCTATACCATTTTTCTATTGTCTACATTCTCTTAAGGAGATCATGATGGATAAACCTAGACATACTTTTTTGGACACATTATTTTCTCTATTTCTCTTTTCTGATATGCTGTACAGAACTCTCCACACATGAATTAACAATTAACAATTTAGAACTTTTCAAAAACCGTTATATTTTCCATTTTGCCAAATGGTATTGTTACATATCTGCCTCCTATTACACATTCTTTGTATTATACTCATCCCATACATATTCCTTGAACATTTGGGCTGCATTGGTAAGAAGCACATTTTCAACTGTGTAATAGGTCTGTTTACCAATAGAACATATACAATAATTTTCTAATTTGAAATAAAATTAAAATGAAAGACAAACATTTTGATTTTCTAAACGTGACTTTACAAATATACTGTAATTTCACAAATAGCCATAAAATATTTCATCTGAAGTAACCTGAGGCAAGTAATATTTCTGTCTAAGCAATCTGTTAGGCTTCTATGGTAAGAGGGTCAGCTTTTATCTACATAACAAAACTCAAAGTGATGAACACTTTTTCCTCTGGCCTATCTCTAGCTATATGCATATAACTAGATTATAATATAAGGAATGTATAATAGGAGGCTATATGTGAACCAATGTTGTACAGTTAGTATAGTGTATTGGATAGCAACTTGGAAGATTCATATTTCAGTCTATCTTCAGGAATAGAAACTCACTGGTTATTTGATCTACTCAGGCACTATGTATAAATGGTGGAGTCTTTATTTTCATTGTGCTTTAGCAGCTATGTGACAATGGGATAATCTTGTTCAATAGAAATCATCACATATACAGCACATATACATATACATATTATCAATACAGAATCAAAGATCCTAACTGCCCTAATGAAAGAGGGAATTATAACATGGGAAAAGTTGTTTTCTCAGATATATCAATTAAATTTCTTAGTCAGTTGTAGAATGAAAGTAGAGAACAAAAACCGGTCAGGAAGTGGAATCCACTAGAGTATAGATCTATGATAATCATGTATATTAAATGCATGCATATTTCAGGAGATGCTTAAGATGTTATACCCAATTGTTCGCATGTCTGTGAGTATATTCAGGTATACCTCTTTCTTACATGTTCAGACAGAGGGTAGATACAGTAGAATGTATTTATATTAATAAAGTTACTCAGCCAAAATGTAATAAGTTACCCATACCTTTAACACATTTCCACTTTGCATACTACTATAATTTGTAAAAAATTAAACTGTAGTACTTTTGAAGCTTGATATTTTTAAAAGATTGGAGTCTTTGACTAGCAAAGCAGCACTTAATTAATATTGAAAAGTGTCTCCTCTTTAAGTCATTCACTGGGAAAACACATTTGAAAAAAAAGCCCATTAATTAAGAGTCATAGAAGTATTGTAATCTATATATATAAAAGCAAAAACCACTCATGCATTAATCACGGAATCTCCAGAACCATAAAGCCTACAAACTTGAAATTTGCCACGTATATTCCCCTTGGCTTCTAGGTGCTCACTAAGAAAAGATTTTTCGAAATGACCATCAGAGCATTAGTATTTCCTCTATTATTAAAACATGCTCTGATGCTAATTAGTTAGACGTTCTACTCTCGCTCCCAACTTGAAAATAACTCTGGAGAGTATGGGATAGTATAGGACAGGCTTCTGTGGGGCAAGCCTCATGGAGAGAAGGGGCTAGAAAGCCTGAGGGAGAGAATGGGAGAGGAGAGGATCTATGGGGCCAACCTGAAGGAGAGAAAGGGGATAGGAGAAGATCTATGAGGCCAGCCTGAGGGAGAGAAGGGGAGAGGAGAGGATCTATGGGGCCAGCCTGAGGGAGAGAAGGGGAGAGGAGAGGATCTATGGGGCCAGCCTGAGGGAGAGAAGGGGGTAGGATAAGAGAGGATTCTGTGGAGCTAACCTGAGGGAGAGGAGAGGCTTGTGTGGGGCCAGCCTGAGGGAGAGAAGGGGAGAGGAGAGGATCTATGGGGCAAGCCTGAGGGGGAGAAGGGGAGAGGAGAGGCTTCTGTGGGGCCAGCCTGAGGGAGAGAAGGGGAGAGGAGAGGATCTATGGGGCAAGCCTGAGGGAGAGAAGGGGATAGAGAGGAGAGGCTTCTGTGGGGCAAGCCTGGGAGAGAAGGGGAGAGGAGAGGCTTCTGTGGGGCTAGCCTGAGGCAGAGATGGGGAGAGGAGAGGATCTATGGGGCAAGCAATCCCATTGCGAACCGGTGGTAAAGGTAAATTGAACCCACCTCTGGTTTGCGTATATACAAATTTTGACTAAATGTGGACTTATTAAGTGTCAGTGAATGTAACTAAGTTTTCTATTTCTATCAAAAATACTTAATTTCAAAAAATATTTAATTATGCTATTGGAAATTGAGTTAGCAAATACTTAAAATAATTAATGAAGAATTTTGCTATTGTTATAGTGGCCTTCAACCATCGATTTTGAAAGGCTATGCAATATATTTTTTATTCTAAATCCTATTAATTTTACTTTGTATTGTAACATAAGAATATAATTTTATATTCTTGTTTTATATCATTTTATTATGTTGCTTGTAAACCATCCAGGATCATTTAGATTAGATGGGTGGTATAGAAATTTAATAATAGAAAAACAATATCTAAAGTTGAAAGTAATATCCACACCTGATTTATAAAATACATTGTTCATTTAGATCAAGGTTAATAAAGAGTAAAGCCCTTTGAGTTTAATGTGTTTTAATTCACATCTTAGTTTTGTCTATTATTTTTATCAAGGAATATAAAGAAAGGAGAAATTGAAATATGGAACAAAAAATATTGTCAAAGGATGTGAATTATTTGCCTTTTTAAAATTACTGAATTTCTCTTAAACTACATTTCACAATTGCATTTAATTGGTTCTTTTTTTTTCCAATTACAGATATATAAGCTGGTGCTGTAAGTAGCTAACATAAATAAATTTAGAGTTCAGCAAAGTTAATATGGAGCATTTGCCTGGTTTACAACATATCGCGTTTCCCCAAAAATAAGACATGTCCAGATAATAAGCTCAATCGGGCTTTTCAGCACATGCAATAATATAAGCCACTCCCACAAAATAAGCCCTCCAACCAACTACTTACACGCATGTGCAGCCATTTCCGCCATTTCCTCTGGTTGCTTGCTGTGCAATCAAAATGAGTTGAGGAGGCGAGGCCGGAGGGGGGAAAGGAGGGATATGCCCTCCTATCCCTGTTCTTCGCGCCGTCCGAGCAGCCCAACATGTCCCATCCTACCCCAAAGGCAACAGCAGCCTGGCTGCTTGCCTTCCCCACTGTCTCTTTATTGAGAGGGGTGGCAGGTGGGGGAGAAGCAAGACGCATGGAGCGAGACGTGGCTCCCCTTGCCGTCTCTTCTCCCCACCACCTCACTGGGCATGGCAGGGCTCCTGCCCCTTGCTTAGCCACCCACCTCCTTTAAGGATGCAATTTGGGGGTGACAGGTGGGGCAGGCGAGAAGCGGGACACAGGTCTTACCTTTCAAGCTCCATCACTTTCCTTGCCGTTGTGTCCAGGGAAACACACTGTAAAAGAAAGCCTTCTCGTGAGTTCGAGAAGTTTGAACTCACGAGAAGGCTTTCTTTTACAGCGTGTTTCTATGGACACAATGGAGAGGAATGCGATGGAGCTGCATGCCTGCTTTGACCATACAAGCACAAGGTACAAGGTGCATGTCTACAAAAAGGCTGGGGATTTTTCATATTACTAATATTCTTAATATTTAACTAAATAATGGAGATCGTAAATACAGTACATTAACTGAACATGAGCTTAAACCAGATATCTACACTAGTTTTCTGTATTCTCTCAGTAAAACATCAAATTTTAAATATTGAAACAACTGTCTTTAATTTAATAATCTTTGACTTCTCCAAAATTATTCCCAGTTAATTTTCAATGCATTCACAATGTTGGTAACATTTCACATATTTATTAAAAGTATATTCCTCCATTACTCCAGAAGCAAAAGGTTGCATACATCACATCACTCTTTTCCACATTTCTCACAACCAGTGGTGAAATCCTACTGGTTTGTACCGGTTCGGGTGAACCAGTAGTGATAAAAGCTACTGGTTGGTCTGAACCGGTATTTCCGATGATCAGCTGTGCTGCACAATTTATATTAGCTAGAAGCAGGAAATCCTGCTTTCTAGCGAATCTAAATAGTGTGGCACAGTTGTTCCCCCCTCACTGTTCTACTTACCTTGTTAAGCATCCTTTTTCCGTGTGAAGCGCACGTTTGGTGCACACTGTGCATGCGTGCACGCACAGTGGGCATTAGGTGCACACTGCATATGCACGCACAGCGCTTGTTTGGCACGCACCGCACATGCCTGGGCAGCGAACTGATGGCAAACCGCGGAGGATGTCACCACTGCCCACAACTACTTTGTGACAAGCTGATCTGACAGTTAAAAGACTGGCCCAAAGTCACGCAGTGAGCATGCAGTGAGCTTCCATTATGGAAATGGATGTGAACACATGCAACCATGACATCAAACCATATTTCAGTGCGATTGCCAAATGTTGGGAGGAGAAGCCACATTCTGTCACACGTAGTCAACCATGCTAGATTATGGATTAACAAGGATTAAGCTATCTCCCTCAACATTTGTTCAGCATATTAAACTCTTTTTCACAATTCCTCATACGTCATTACTCTGGAACTCACTAGAGGGTGCCAATGCATTACTATTTACAACCGAGTCTTATCCGTATGAAATACAAATTAGCCTATTGCTGGGATTGCTGTATGCATGCAATAATACAGATTCTCAATATTGCATTATTCTTTTCTCTCTGCCTGTTATGTAAAATTTTTATTATTATTATTATTTATTGAATTTGTATACTGCCCTACTCCCGAAGGACTCAAGGCGGTGAACAGCCAAATAAAATACATATAGTACAAATGTTAAAAAACCATTAAAATACAATTAAATAATTGGCCCGGAAAACGAATTTAAACACCCCAAATTCATAAGACAAATTTAAAATTTACAAATTTTAAAAATTTTAAAAACAATTTAAAAGAGAAGTTAGGCCAGGCCGGCCTGCTGGAATAGAAATGTTTTAATGGCACGGCAGAAAGTGCGCAGATCCGGGATCCTCCGTACCTCTGGGGGGAGCTCGTTCCAGATGGTGGGTGCCCCCACAGAGAAGGCTCTCCCCCTGGGGGCCACCAGTCGACACTGTTCGGCCGACAGCACCCTGAGGAGCCCCTCTCTATGGGAGTGTACAGATCCGTGAGAGGCTACTGGTGGCAGAAGGCTGTCTTGTAGATACCCCGGCTCTTAAGCCATGGAGCGCTCTAAAGGTGGTACCAAAACCTTGAAGCGCACGCAGAAGACCACCGGGAGCCAGTGCAGCTCGCGCAGGGGGGCTCACATGGGAGTGCCACGTCGCTCCCATAACCACCCACGCAGCTGCATTCTGGACCAGCTGGAGCCTCCGGGTACTCCTCAAGGGGAGCCGCATGTAGAGAGCATTGCAGTAGTCCAGGCAGGAAGTGATGAGGGCATGAGTGACCATATTTAACGAGTCCCGATCCAGAAAGGGACGCAACTGGCAAATCAGGCGAACCTGATAAAATGCCCTCCCGGCCACAGCCGTCAAGTGCTCTTCTAAAGACAGCTGTGAGTCCAGGAGGACCCCCAAGTTGCGAGCCCTCTCCGTGGGGGCCAACGACTCGCCCCCAATAGTCAGTGATGGCACCAACTGACTATATCAGGATGTCGGAAACCACAGTCACTCGGTCTTGGATGGGTTGAGCCTGAGTCTGTTCCTCCCCATCCAGATCCATACAGCCTCCAGGCACCGGGACATCACTTCAAGGGCATCATTGGGGTGGTCTGGGGTGGAGATGTACAGCTGGGTGTCATCAGCGTACTGGTGGTACTTCACCCCGAAACCACGGATGATCTCACCCAGCGGCTTCACATAAATGTTGAACAGAAGGGGGAGAGGACCGACCCATGTGGCACCCCACATACAAGGGGCCTCGGGGTCAACCTCTGCCCCCCTGCCAACACTGACTGCGACCGTTCGGAGAGGAAGGAGGAGAACCACCGCAACACAGTGCCTCCCACCCCTAACTCTTCCAGCCGACTCTTCCATGATACCATGGTCGATGGTATCAAAAGCCGCTGAGAGGTCTAATAGGACCAGGACAGAGGAACAACCCCTGTCCCGAGCCCTCCAGAGATCATCAACCAATGCGACCAATGCCGTTTCCGTGCATAAAACAAGCAAGCCCTCTGCTAGAGCAGCTCAACTGCAACTGATAGAATTGTCCATCCCCCAAGTCTATAGACAAGACCTCTGAGGCTGAAAAAAAATTGTCCCTCCCCAGTCTGTGTTAATGTAGTCAGCATGTACACAGCATTGTGCGCAGTGGAATATCTAGAACAGTGATGGCTAACCTTTTTGCCATCGCGTGCCAGGAGAGGGGGGGGCGGGGGGGGAGGTCCGCGCGCGCACGTGCCCACGCACATGTGTGCGCAACCCACTCCCCCCTCCCGCTCCTGGCACATGATAGCCTGGTAGGCCCGTTTTTCTTTCTTACCTGGTTCCAGATCCTCTCTGTGTATCTGGGAACGGCGAAAACAGCCCTTCCCACTCCCTTGGAGGCCCTACGGAGCTGAAAAAGCCCATTTCCCAACTCCCGGTGGGACAGGAAGTGACATTTTTTGCTGTCCCCAGCCTCCAGAACCTCTCTAGGAGTCTCTAGGAGCCTCTCTAGGAGTCTGTAGGAGCCTCTCTAGGAGTCTCTGGAGTCTGGGGAAGAGGAAAAAACGTCACTTCCTGTCCCACCGGGAGTGGGGAAATGGGCCCTTTGAGCCTCCATAGGGCCTCCAAGGAAGTGGGAAAGGCTGTTTTCGCCGTTCCCAGATACACAGAGAGGATCTGGAGCCAGGTAAGAAAAAAAAAACGGGCCTTCCCCACCTCCCCCAGGCCCTCCAGAGGCAGGAAACAGCCTGTTTCCCTACTTCTGGTGGGCCCAAAAGGCCCGAAAATCAGCTGGCCGGCGCGTGCATGCGCCCCAGAGCTGAGCTGGCGTGCCCACTAATATGGCTCCGTGTGCCACCTGTGGCACACGTGCCATAGGTTCGCCATCACGGATCTAGAATCATGTTATTATCTGTCTTGACAGTCTTAGCTCCTTGTGTGCTTTAATTAAATGTGGATAGAATCAGAATCAAATGCTCATCCCTTTTCTTAACTTTTATATGGAGATATACATAATAAAATAAAATGTCTATGGAGATTCTCAGTCATCCAGGTCATGGTTGTCACAACGATGCTTTTTCAAGAGGCAACTGGACTTTCTGCTTTTTCTTTGAAGACGTTTAGCTTCTCATCCAAGACCTGAAGAAGCTTCTTGGATGAGAAGTGAAATGTCTTCAAAGAAAAAGCAGAAAGTCCAGTTCCCTTTTGAAAAAGCACCTTTGGGATAAAACAAAATGACAGATATATTATGTTTTTTTAAGTAAATATTCCCATAACAATGACACAAAATTCATTGATTTTGATTTTTTAAGCAACAGTATCTAATCCATATTGAGAGAGTTTAGCCCTTGGTTAAATAATTCATAAGCTTGTTAAATGTTGTATGTGGTTTCTTATATTTATCATGGCCTTCATATTTTCTAAGATATGGTCCCACTTCATTCAGGACTGAAAATATGTTTCAATATGAAACTGTTTTCTCATTGGAAAGGAACATAAGGTTATGTAATGTAGCTTCCAATGATTCGGCTTCTGACTAAGCCTTCCCTAAACTTGTACTCTGCGTGGCTAGGCAGGAATTTTGGGAGTGACGATCGCTAGCAGGGTACTGAGTTGAAGAAAACTTATTTTTTGCCAAGTGCTGAGACAGATCCAGGTAAGGTTTCAGACTTCCAGATACCAAATCATCTAGATCAGAAATAGCAGCAGTTGACCAAAGATTATGTTGACAAAACAAGTGGGACATCTTATGTAAAGTCTTGGCTTACACCCACACAGACTGAGAGCATGTTTACTGATTAACAAGGAAGATCAGACCACGTACAATGCTGCACAAGGCAGCATTTTCTTTAAGCAGAGGAAGAACCTGGATTTTAATGTTTTACTACACATATGTTCAGTACATGCATAATTATTTATGGTAGAAGCTCTTTGTGTGTACTTTTTAATTTATAGAGCAGCATTTTCCTGAATTTTGGAGAAGTCCTTGGGTATTTTCGTAGAGTGTTTTCAGAAGTTCAGGAAAAATACAACCCCAGTGTAATTTAATGTAGTTTCTATTTGAGGGCCAAATCATTTTTTTAAAATCCTCATTTATGTCTGAAACCAGGGTAAAACCTATTTTTTCCTTTTGCAACCCTAGTTTGTGGATGGATTACCATCCAATTGCCAAGAACTTTTCTTCTGAGCATCTGACATTCAGTCACACACTATTATTTCAATAGTCCTTTGAGGGGAAAGGTGGCTTGGCAGTTTTAAAGTAAAGCAAACTTTTTTTTTTGGCCTATGATCAGAGAAGTTGACATGCAGTAGCCTGAATTTAAAAAATGGATAGGTGGGTATTAGCAATTTATGCTCTTCAACTTTGTGCAGAGTGAGGGTGGTTTTTGTTCTTCAGGAACTGTGGAATTTGGGTTGAGGCCTGAACCAAATGGTGTTCCTTTGCATTCTCCCTCAGCATTTCAAAGTCTACAGCTGTAAAGACATTGAGGGGTGGTTTAAAGCTGCTTCTGAGGGATTGGGCAGTGGCAAGAATGATGGTATGAAAGTGTTCTTCTCTGTGAATGGCTTTTTTTCTGTTTCATTCATGTTTTTTCTGTTGCTATTAAAATGGTGAGGACTGCAGTCTGAATTCCTATTTTTGTTGTTTGGCACTGCTATCTCACTCTAAAACCAGAGCCCTTGAGTTTCTCACAGCATTCATAAAATGCAATAGAAAACCAGTAGAATTCCATGCATAAAACAGAGTAAACAAACAAACAAACAAACAAAGCATACTGAATTGCTTCAATTTTAAGCTGATGGTGTCCCTTACCTACAGGGTTGACCCTGGTGATATAAAAATATTTCCTCACAAAGGCCTATTAAACACCAAACTGCAAAAAATGTACATGTGACATATATATATACATACACACACACACACACATATTTAGACATGTTTAGTGTTTAAATTTCACAGCAATGCTAGACAATTTTCCATTTAAATAAAAAAAAAATATTTAATTCATCTGTATACTGCAAAACCATATTCTTCAGCTATTATTAAATTGCAGTGGTTATAAACAGATATAAAAGAAAGTCTGCAATAAAGTAGCACAGGTTTGTGTTAATTATATTTATATATGACCATAATCAAAAGACTACACTCTTGGGATTTATAAACACTTATACAAGTAAGCTTAGCTTAACAATGATAATTGGGACCAAGATTTCCATTGCTAAACATTGAAATCATAAAGTATGCCATCATGTTACTGCACTGCTTAGCAATGGCAGTTCTGGTATTCCGCCATTATTGTTATTAAACAAGGATCATACAGGTGACGCAAGGAGTGAGATGCCGAGCACCCAGATTGTGATTACCTGTCAGCTGAAGGGAAGGCTGTCAGCTGAAACTTTTAGGACCAATCAGTTTAGTGTTGTCACTAGTTCAAGTTATCACTGAATGAGGACCACCTGTGTACACATAGTAAAGATATAAATTTGTGCATCAAAATGCAGTTTCAGAAATTTGAAAGAATGTTACTGCAAAAGCAAGTATCTGTATCACGACAGTGGTACCACGTCCTTAATTGGTTCTGGGAGGCACAAGTACTAAAAAGGTTGAGCACCAAAGAAACCATGTGACTTAGCACGACCCTTTTGTTTTGGCTGGGAAGGACTTCCCATTTGTCCCTTTTCCTATGCCAGCAACCTTTCTCGCATTGCCTACTTCCTGTCCAACCTCTGTGCCTGTCCCTCGCTTCCTTTTGCAGCGACCTTCCTAGCATGGCTGACTTCCTAGCTGCCTTCTGCAGCTCTCCCCCACTTCCTTTTGCAGCACGTCAGGTCCCAAACAAACGCTGAGTACCAGGACAACATTTTCGTGTCAAAAACCAAATTCAACAAGCTTTGAAGCAGTTAAGTACCAAGGTACCACTCAGGCGTGGGTTCTACTTACCTTTACTACCGGTTTGCAGCGGGGCGGCGCACGCGAGCGAAGCCAGCGCGTGCGCTCTTCTGCGCATGCGCAAAAGCGTTTTGATGTCATCAGGGTCGGTGGGCGGAGCTTCCCGCCGGTTTTACTACGGGGCAACCCAGCGCTGGTACCACTGTATTTATTTCTCAGCTGATCCTGCTCTGAATTGCAATAAACTCTTCCCTCATTGTTCCATTTAATCACTACATCCACAGATTAGAGTCGAAATATAATTCAGTATGCGTGACTCCATTTTAAGGGAATGAGGTGACAATATGCTAAATGAACAGCATAAAGTTGCTGAGTAAAGGTGGGAAGACGCTGTTAAAATCTTAAGTGCAGAACAAACAGAACCTTTGAGAAGATTATCCAAAATGTCATATAATGTGGAGAAATGAGAAAATTTGCCTTGGTGATTTCATGATCACCATTTTAAAATGTAGCAGAGAAAAAGATAGCTGACTTCTTTGAATTAAAATCAGCCTAGGTGTCTATTTCAACTTAGAGCGGCATGGGCAAAAAAAAAAAAAAATGCCTTACACTCAATGGCTGATGTCCCCTTTTGCAATTTTTCTTTTCATTTATATATCCAAACATATTCATGTTCTTCGTCACAGTTCTGTAAGATGCTTAAATTCCATCACTTAAATGCCTTCCTGGTGTACCTTTCTCATGATAAGCCTGCTTCTCTTGGACCATTAACATCGGATGAAAAGGCATATTTATTGCTAAGAATGTAAAAAACAGATTCATTTCTTTCTAGTTTCTATGTTCTAGTTTCTATGTTTTTTTTCCCAAAAGTGCCATTAACATTTGCATCTTTTATTTTGCACATTTCTTTACTATCTCAATTGAGATGGAATATATTCTTCTAGGTTTAATATTCAGATGTCTCTTTGGCTTATGTTTAGTGACCTTGGATGTCCCTTGAGCTGGTAAACACTCTTTCTGAAATCTTGCTGATGGAATGTTAATCTACAGGACAGTCAAGATCGTGCTGAATCACTTGTATCAGTATTTATATCCCTAACAGCTGCATCACAGGTTAAATTCTCATAATTCAGCTTCAGGATTCTATCACCTAGCTGTGGCTTGCTGAAGCTCACATTTTGTCAACCACAGTGAGTGCAAGGACATGTATATAAAAATGTCAAGAGGACATTTGCTGGAGAGAAACAAAAAGATTAGAAATTAGAGCTCTCTATATTTTCGATACTATAACGTTAAATACCACCTTAGGTCAATACTAAGTTATAGATCAAATTAAGGTATAATTCTATAGCTAAGAAAACCCAAATTTCAGATGTGGAACAACTCCATATATAATATTATAATCCAACAGAGTTAGTCCTCACTTAACAATAGCAACTGGAATCAGAATCATTTCTATTGCTAACAATGTGGTTTGTCTTTGTTAATTGGGGATCATGGGTTGTTAAGCAAGGACTTCATGGGACTGAAACTTGCAATTTCCTGATAGTTTCCAACAAGCAAAGTCAATAAGGCAGATCCATCCATGTGCCATCCAGGATCTTCAAATCCTGGATGGCACATGCAGGCTCTTGGGTGAGTGCGTGCTATGGATTATGGGGGTGGGTGAGGGAGGGATGCTGCAGTGCAAGTGTGGGTAGAAAAGGGAGACAAGGTTATGTAATGCAAGCTGGTTGAAACACCTGAATCGTGATCATATGACCACAGGGGTACTTCAATGGCCAGAACTTTGAGGACCAGTCGTAAGTACCCTTCATTTAGCAGTTGCAACTTTGAAGGCTGCTGAAACAAGTATTCATTAACCAAGGATTACCTACAACAGTTTCCAGTCAGAATTAAATTATCAGATTTACTTTTTAATTTAAGAAACTATTTGAGGTATCAAACCATGCTCCCACAATTTAATTAGCCATTCTTCCGAAGAATGTCAACATAGAATGCTACTTCAGTGTACTTTGAACAAATATACGGTTTAGTGAAATTTAATACAAATATCTCAGCGGTAGTGAAATTCAGCTTTCAAAATCTGTGCCATTCTACTATGTATCAATTTCTAGTATTGTTAAGTTTATAACAGTACCACAATTTAGGAAGAAGGGATCCAAATCGTTTGCTACATTTCCAGCAGTTTTTTGGAAAATAAATTATTCAATCAAGACTAGAATAATATACCAGCAGTAGAACCAATTGTACCAAATCTAAATATGATGTTCAAAGTAAATTTAGTATTCTTCCACTACAAATCCTGTATCGTATCTCTATAACTGTGTTTAGATTCTGCATTTATTTAATTAATATTTAATATAGCCCTTAATATTTCAGATTCTAAATCATACTTCAGTAATAATTTATAAATTTCACCTAATATTCAGTATGTTGAATTATAAGATTTTCAAATTTAGTCAAGTTTTTCAATGCTTGATTCTTGTTTCTGTAGTTTTCTTGTTGTTATTGTAGCATTTTTATTTGGAGATAACTGAAACCAATTAAATGTAGAACTTTGTATGCTAAGACAGAATCCCCCAACCTTTTTGGCTTTGCAGACCAAATGGGTAGAGAGGGGATGGTTCCGCATGAGCAGCTGGCAAGTGTGCTCCATTTACAAGAGTGACTGCACGCACACACACGCTGCTTCCACGGTCCGGTTCCAAACAGCTCACAGCCTAGTAGATGGGAACCCTTGTGCTAAGAGACTCTTGCTTGTTTTTATTTTTGTTCTATTAAAAATGAAATATTTTAATCTAAACATAGTGTTTTTCCACTGAGCAAATTTCTTAAAGAGTCTTCATCTTCATGAAAGGAAACTTTTAATAATGAAGCGAGGGGCAGGGGGAATATATCCTGCCATCCTGGACATTCAACTGAAGTATTAATTTTATATTCACAATAACCACCACTTACAGTATATTCCCATTAATGTTTTAGATTGTCTCTGCCAAAGAACTTTAGAAAAGTTTAGATCTTTGACTTGTTTAAACAATACTTTTTATAACTCTGATTCCTTCTGACATAAGTGTTCTATGCAAAACTGATTTAGAGTAGCACAAATTCTGATAACGTAGTTTGTTTAGCAGCAGGAAGTCCTGCATGGCTAATCAGAAGTGCTGCTTTAGTTTTAATTTGCCCTTTTATTTTTAAAATGGTTCTGTGTAAGTGACCTTTGGAAAACTTAATACCAAAAGTTCTCTTGAACTTTTGGTTTTCGTTATTGACTTTAATTGGTAACATTTGTAAACATTTTAAAATAACTTCTAATTTGGAATCATGAAATGACTTATTTAAACAATGAGACAACCATTAATTTTACATTTTGTAGCTTGTTGCAGAAAGGATAGACTTGATTAAGACATGGTTCTTTGGTTTCTTAAGATAAAATTCTAAAAGTAAGGCTTGATCAGAAAATATAGCAAGAAACCAGGTTTCCAGCATCACAAACTGGCTTTCTCTTTTGAAGTAGAATGTTCCAATGAGAGGGAATTGGAAAACCAAGTTTCCTTTCCCAGTTTTTGCTTCCATGAAAACAAGGTGCATTTAGTGTCCTCAGTAATCAGTATGCCTGCTTTTGTGTCAAAAATGAGATATATACATACCAATTCTTAATTACAAAAATACAGGTAGCCACTAGATGGCAGCAAAGAGATAGGAATTTTTTTCGGCAACTTTTCAAACTATTTTCACCCCAAATATTACAGCAGTACACTAATGAGACTGTGTGTGTCACCTTGAAACTTCCAGTAAGACAACATATAAACTGAAAATGAAATAGTACAGTAAAGCATATGCAATTCCAGAAATAAATTGATCTATTTAGAGTTCTCTTTTACTGGATCTTGGAGTGTTTCACATATTAAATTGAGTCAGAGATTGATACTGAATCAAATTATTTAATTTTTTTGGGTCCTTACTTGCTGCTTTTCCAGTTTAGGTATATTACAGTAGCTGCCTAAAGTTTAGCCACCGATTCAGGAATCCACATCAATGTTGCTAATCAGTCTGTATAGGCTGAGGTTGAACCAGGAACTCCTTGATGCTCTTTGAGCTTGGTTGTTTGCTGAAAACATTTCATTACTGTACTAGCTAACATCATCAGTGTGAGTGTGGTGTTCCTCCCTGTACAATATACAATACAATACAATACAATACAATATACAATATACAATATACAATAACTTGCCCTGCCAGTGTGATAGGAATGTTTTTTTGGTAATTCCTTGATTGGGGTATTGTTGTCTGCTTGGCTGTTTATTGGTGTTAATTCTGCAGTCTCCTAAGCTTTTTGTGATTCCAGACAGTTTCAGAACATGTCCACCACCAATAATAAATAATACCCCAAACTCTTGTAAAACCATGAAAAATGGGAAATCATGTCTTGATCCATCAGTAGTATTCACTTAGAATTACCAATATGCGTATTGCAGTTCTTAGCTTTCTCCCAAAATGTTACATGACTTCTGGCTACTAATTTCATACTCTTCTGCCAAGCCATAAATCATGGTTTATAATCCAAAGGCTAGATTTATAAAATTATTAATTCAAAATCAAGTAAGTCACATCACACAATTCACTCCTCACATTTGGCTTTGATTAACTATGACTAAAGTTAACCATTAACTTTTTACAAAACAACAATGTAATTTTCTCTGCCTCTATTATGTAGTGAAAGAAGCCATGTCAAAAATATTTGGTTTTGGTTTTGGTTTTGCTATCACTTTATAAAAATACACAGGACCTCCTTTTATTTGCCTTTCCAAACCCTCACAGGTTTTTCTTTTTAAAAATATTTTACAGGAAAAGATGCCAGGCTGTGAAAGCAGCAAGAAACAGGAATTTTTTAACAAGGAAAAACAGCTAAAGCACTCTGACCATAAATTGTCATGAGAGGCAAGATGGAGAACAAAACCCTTGCACAGCCAACCAGTTCTGTATGCATGTAGTTGGATCAAGCTGAAATATAAAGAATGAGAGAAACATCAGAATATCCCATGCATCTTCCATACAGAGAAGGATGGCCCAAGTAAGAGGGATGATGTGGCATTATAATTTAAATGGGAGGCCCACCCCAAAGAGAAGAAAACACATGGCATCCTGGTACAAATCAACCCTACTAGTTCCTGCTGTCTCCAGTACCCCTCCTATACTTTGACTTGCCCCAGAGAGATCTATAAAGTAGAACAAATGCTGAGAACAGCAGCAGAGTGCAGGAAGGAAAACACTCCATCTTAGAAACATTTTTAAAAAATGCTTCCCTATGCTTTCCTTCTCACATTCCTTCTGCACCATTCCTTTTTCCCCCCTAACTCCTTTGAGCAGGACCAAACTTGAGGCCCAATTTTATAACGATTTATTAAACCTGAAGTTAAAAAAAGTAAACAACCAGTAACCTGATTCCTAAATTCATACTACAGCTTACTCAGAAACATGTGAAAGGGGTGTGGCTCAAAGGTGCTGTATGCTGTTCCTAAAAAGGATTTCCCATAGAAAAATATGAAACCACGATGCATTCTGTTTTTATAATAGAGCAACTGTGCTATAAAGTTATTCCAAAAACACACAATCACAATTTATATAGAGCCAATATATAAGTCTAAAAAAACAAGTTAAAATAAACTTACCCAATACTCCTAGCTAAAATTGTTAGCTATTTCGTAGGATGACTAGATACGTACCTGTAGCTAAACTTCCCACTGTATGGACTTTTTTTTCCAGCATCTTGTGGATTATAACCTTTTATCAAAAGGTCAGGAACAAGTTTTCTAGCTTGTGTCTTTTTTACACAATTGCCTGCAATTTCCAAAAGAACAGCAGCTCTTCCATAGGGAGGAAGGTTGGGGAAACTTCTCTCTTGCTAACTTCATTCACAACAGTATCTTTGTAGGACTTCAATACATCTGCAACAGTGGTGGGTTTCAAAATTTTTTACTACTGGTTCTGTGGGTGTGGCTTGGTGGGCATAGCATGGCTTGGTGGGCATGGCAGGGGAAGGATACTGTAAAATCAACATTTCCACCCCTCTCCACGGTTACTGCAAAATCCCCATTTCTTCTCGATCAGCTGGGACTTGGGAGGCAGAGAATAGATGGGGGCAGGGCCAGTCAGAATTTTTACTACCGGTTCTCCAAACTACTAAAAATTTCCATTACTGGTTCTCCAGAATTGGCCTGAACCTGTTGAAACCCACCTCTGATCTGCAAGTTATTCAAGGCTGAAGGAAAATGGGAAGTACTGCTGTTAGTACAAACATGCATACTTTAAAGATTATAGTTTGGAAAGAGACTGAAATCTGGGATAGCTTGTTCAGGCCCATCAAGTATCTTTGTCAACCCATTAAATAATGTAGGATTTATCAACCTTTCATTCAGTAATATATAGGAAGCAAATCCAGATACTGTATAGGAAAGGAAGCATCATATTCCTCTGATAATTTGAACTCTTGGCAAAAACTGCATTTTTTTTTCTGGGCTTGGCCTTTGAAAAGAACATCCAGCCAAGGTTTTTGAAACAAGCAATGCACACTTCAGCATTTCCTGTAATACAAGAAACTTGGGAATCACACTTCCAGGGTTGTGTAACTTTGCATCTTAAAGATGGTAATGTATCACAGATCAAACTAAAATGCATTTAAAAGAGTTTTCAGATTTAGCTCTGCTTAAGTTTGCTGCGTATGCAAACTAATCTTGTATCAGTTACAGAACTTGTACATTTTTAAGGTACTACAATATAAATAAATTTGTTGTCATTGTACATGTATACACAATATACACTTACAATATTATTTTTGTAAAAAAAAATTGCTTTTATAAACTAAATTCCTCAGAAAGAGGAGGAAAATATATTCCAGTTGTCAGTAGAAATGAGAAACCTAATTTTTCAAAGTAGTTCCACAAGTACAGAGGACACGATGTGGAGAGTAAATGAATTTTATGCGATTACCTAAAATCAGGGCAAGCCATAATTGCAAGAATTGCAATACATCTGCCTTATAAACAGCTCCTTAATGTTGTGAAGGGTGTTATGTCTCCTTCTTGGCAGCAGTTGACTTGTTGATACAGAGGAGCCTCCCAAATCAATGAGCAATCAACAATAGCCTGTTGTTTTGCATGAGGAGAGAGTGACTATGCATCAGGCACCTGGGATAATTATCCCCATGTTATATAACAGACCCAGGAGACATATTAAGCCATGACGAAAAGAGGGTTAGTTTCTTCCAGCCCATGCAGGACAGCAATAGGCGGTGGAGAATAATGCTAAAATACCTGTGGGCTCTCTAAACTGGGCATGTAGCCAAGTGAACTGGAAAAACATTCAACCTCAGAACACAGCTGCTCTTTGATTACAAATAAACCCAGAAATAAATTCTTTGTCTCATGTTTCAAATGTACTGATGAGGGTTTGGCACTGAGGAAGTTAGTGCTGCTTTGCTTACTTACCCTGAGATATGTACACTAAGCATAAATTGCCTAGAGCATATATAGAATAATTTGGCACCTTTTGGATGAGCTTAGATTTCCTTCATGTGGGCTTTCCAGAAGTAACAGCCACTTGTACTGTCATCACAAATCATTTACAGAACATATTGCATTCTATATTATTTCTCTGTGATTCTAAGTCCCCTCTATGATTCAAGTGCAGTGCAAATGTGCTGTGAAGATCAAAATGATTTAACTTGATGAACATGCAATAAAAGCACAAGTAAGGCAATCAATATTAAGTGTACATTTGGGGGGAAAGCTTTAACAATGTCTTAACTGAAAATAAATAGAAAAGAATTTCATATTAGTGAATAACAAATTGTTACATAAACTTAGTAACTGAGTTGACGGTTCATACCAAGCCAAACTAATTCATTTGGGCTTATGTTAGCAAGTGTGAAACCAATTCCATAGCTTTCTCAAAGCAAAAATCCATTTGAAAATGTTTCAACTACTTTAGTTAAAATGACAATTATTGGACACAAAATTTATAAAAATATGCATTGTAAGAAGAAAAATACGAGTTTTCTTCCTTTTTCGTAATATATATTAACCAGTGGGAAAGGTGAGTTAGACATCTTAAAGCATATTGCACAATGTATAATCTATGAAAATTTTGGTTATGGGTAGAAATTAAAAAATGTAGACCAACATTCACTGGATCTCTTCAGCCCTTTTCAACCTGATGCTATTTGCTATTTCTAAAATACTAGATTGTTATTGGTATTTTAACTCTTAATTCCTAACTCCATATTAGTTTTCAGAGGAAAGTAGGTATATTACACAATCTTTGGAAAAATGAGATTATCAGTTTTTGTAAAACAGCAGCAAACATTTCCTTTAAAATGTGGAAGTTGTTTAGTTTGGTGTTAATGTGCAATTAACACAATAGAACAGTTTGTCTCATATGTACAGAACATGACAGGAAAAGTTCAGTATGAGATGATTATAATTATTTTGTTGCTAGGGATACTGTTTGGGAGGTAAAATGTGGTTTGGGTTTGTCTGTTACTGCCACATTTGGATAGAAATCTGCAGGAATGCCAATATAACTAGAGTGATAAGGAATGCATATACTCCTCTTGGTATATACTCATATACTCCAAGACATTATGTCAAGACATTAGAAATGTTTATTTCTTATGTTCAGGAAGATGGCAAAAAAATTTACAGTATAAAGCAATTTTTCAATTCCTGGCGTTTTATATTTGTAGGGTTTAAAAAACATCCCATAAAATGTTGCCAGCACTAATGTCATGATTTTATAAAAGATTGTTGGATTTCGTTCTCTTTATACTGCTATACCAAAATGATATTTTGGTACCAATTTAGGAAGGCTGTGTTAGATAAATACATTGCATAAATTAAGTCTATTAAAGTCTATTGAACATGACTGCTATATGGAACTACCATTGTTGTAGGTACTATTCAGTTATTGCTTTCAAAACCAGTTTGTAGACAGTTCCAAAACATGTTCTAGGAAAAAAGGATGTTAGATTAGCAAACTTTTGTCTGATTAAGAAGTATTCCTACAGAATGATTTCTAAGGTTTCATTTTTTGAAAAAACATAGCAAAAAACAGCGATCTGTTCTTCCTGACTAATGCAACTACCGATGTGTAGTATAAAATTACTTATTGGGGTTACTTATATTAGTTTTGTAAATAATACTTTAAAATTTATTCACAGGAAATACGTAGATGTGTGTATAATGGGGAAGAAAACTGTAGGTCCCAGAAGATCATATGTACGGTGAATATATATATATATTTTACTTATGATCCAGGAATATTTAAGATGTACCTCAAAACCAACATTATGCTGCACTTGTAGATATGAACTATATACTGTATATCTTAAACCACCAGATGACTTGATAATGCATTTTCTCAAACAACAATCTGCTACATTCTCACTTACTGTTTCCTAGTATGATTCGATTGCTTATTTGTACCCTATCTATCATTAAATGTTGTACCTTATGATTCTTGACGAATGTGTCTTTTCTTTTTATGTACAGAGAACATATGCACCAAAGGCAAATTCCTTGTGTCTAATCACACTTGGCCAATAAAGAATTCATTCTTTTTCGTTTTCTTTCTTTCTTTCTTCTTTCTCTTTCTTTCTCTATCATTTTGTATTGTAGAAAAAGCATAGACTTTGTGTCTACAAATATAGCAATTAACATAGAGTATAATTATGGTCTATTAGGAAATAGAATCAAATCTCACAAAGTATCAGTATGTCTTATCATCTTAGAGATTAGTTTGTGTTTCTCTCCAGTACTGCTCTCTTGAATTACTGAGCGAAGTGGTATATATATAAAATGGCTGGATATGGCTCTAAAGTCCGTAATAGCACAGGTATGCACCAAAAGACCAGCATGTGAAACTGCTCTGATGCAAATGAAATTCTATTCATCCCAATTGTCCATTTCCATTCATTAGCTATATATAAATCATGGTAGCTAGTAATGTTCTATCTAGATTTTTTTCCAGATCTGAAATTAAACTCAATGTCACCAAGCAATTTCATGTAATGCAATTCAAATCATAAAGTTAGTGTGGGATTTTGATCACTGATGAAGAAATATTAAAACAAATAACATCAGGTTTCTTTTCTATTTCTACCTAATTCATAAATGGAAAATATTCTTCCAAAAGTAAGACATTTGGGATCTACTTATTTGTCCTGGTTTTTCCATGGTAGTAAGCAAGATGGAAAGAATAGTCTAGTGAAAAGGTGCAGTTCTGGCTTCTACAGTATTGCTGTTTTCACTGTACAGCTGCATATAAACAGATACCTGCTCCTGACAGTATATCTGTTAAGTATAACTTTGTATCTACATTACTCTGTATTAATGTTCAGAATTCCGTGACCAAATGTAAATAAACAAAACAAACATTTTTCATTGTGATGTTTCTGCTCTATTTTTTCCCAAAGAAAATGAAACACAAGGAATTATCAGAAAAAAAGGCATTATATTTGGGTTTACACCATATTTCAAACCGATTTTGGTTTCAAATAATCAAATCTGAAAGTCTATTTTATAACAGTAAATGACCCAGACAACCGTAATTCAAGAAAAAGGAAAAGGGGAAAAGAAAAAGAAATGTCCATCACACTTAATATAGAAACCAAGGGTTGGTCTCTTCCACAGGAACACTCCGAGGAATGTTAGTTTCAGTTGTTTTGAGTTTCTTCCCCTTCCCTTTGGTGTTGTGACTAACAAAAAGTCCATTGTTTGGTTAAAGCAAAGCAACAGTCTTTTTTTTTTTCCTGCAGTCTTACAGCAGCAAATTTCGTCTTACCAGTAGGAAACACACATGCAGACGCACACACACACATACTCAGACATTGTACAGTAGCCTGTGCCGCCTTCAAGAGAGCGAAACACAGACACTTAGTTCTTTTAAGTGGTCACTTGTTAGAATCATACTAACTTTTGGACTAAGGAAAGAAAATACTGCACAGGTCTTCCACATTAATGTTGCAAATTATCCATTTGCAATTAATTGATTTTCCCATTTGTTCAAAATGCATCGCTGAAATCTGAAGGCACCTGAAGACAGCCCTGTTCTTTTGTATGTTTTGGTTTTGTCATTTTTAACTAGTGTGCTGGTCTGAAATTGCAAAGCCCCTGTCCTTTTGCACTGCAGCATACTAGTTGCAAGTTATGTAAAGACCAAGTACTGGAAAAGGAGAACTTCTTCAAGGAGTCTCAACTTATAGCTACACATTTGCCTTAAAATAAAACAAAAGGCAATGTCTGAAGGCCCCTCTTGCATAAACGCTGTATTTTTGGATAATGTTTTTGGAAGAAACTGGTCCTTTACCAGCTTCAAAAAGAAAACATTTATTACAGACTGTTGTAATCAAAATGCATCAGAGATGCATTCTATTGGCTAAAAGCAAAAACCGTAACAACCCATTCTTTGGGGAATTTATTTCAACTTCTCCATAGTACTACCTAAACGTATTGCCAGGGCTATCAAATGCCACAGGCTTTTGAGAAGACACCTGAAAAGAGGGGTGGGGAAAATACACTAATGAGACCAGGCGGGGGCGGGGGGCAGGGGCAGGAGAGGGATGTTAAACACTAGGACTCCTTGTTCTCACACGTTTATGAGTTTCTGATCAGAAAATAAAGCAGATCCGGAAAACTTTTAAGGTGACAACCAACCAAATAAACCATCACCAAAATCAGCAATAGGAAGATTTTTTTTTCTTTTCTCTCTATATAAATGATGACACTTTAAATCGTCCCTAACCAGTCAGAGGACAGAAGGGGCAATTTTAGCACAAAAAGAAGAAAAGCCTAAACATGTCTGCCCCCTTCTTGACAGATTTTAAATTATTCCCATAGTTACATCTGAAGAAAAAGATGAAACATTTTGGTTTTGGTTATATTTATCATTTTGTAGATCCTCTCTTCTGATGTTGTTTTAGCTGGGAGATGTATTGGCATAAGAGTTTGGAGAGTCTTGCTCATTTATGGTGTTCAGAAGCACACACACAGGTTGTCTGGAGAGGTGGTGGTGGTTGTGTTCTCCATGCTGTTCATCTGAAGCACTGAAAAGCCCTTCTTCCTCATCTCCATGGGGTGGACGGCCACTGCAACTATCACAGAAGTCCATGGATCCATCATCAATGAACCCATCTAACTCCTTGAGATCATTATCATGGTGGTCCTGGTTACAGATACAGATTTCAATGCCTGAATCTCCGGTAAACCTTCGGTGTCTGCCTGGTGTCTTGTCTTTAGCATCTGAAAAAGCGCTGTTTTGATCTAAGCTTTCTGAGTTGTAATCCTTAAGCAATTCTTCCTTGCACTCTGACTCCTTATCAGAAGTAGACACATGGTCAGCCGCATCTTCTAATTCCACTGTGCTGCTGGAATTCCTTGGCTCCCCACATGTTGCTTTGGTAGTTGATCGCTCAACTGTCGGACTGGAGGATTCAGAATGCCCGATGCTTGGAGAGGCAGTGATGTCTGTATTTCCATTATTGCTTTCTGCTCCTGACAGCGTGCCTCCCTGAGCTGGCTGCAGGTTTCTTGTATCTGGTGCTGTACTGCCATTGCCAGTTGGAATGCATTGCTGATGTAAGGCACTATATGGTGGGGGAGGGGTTGGAGGTCGATTCACCACTTCCTCATAGGGAGGTAGTAAATAATTTGGCAAAAATCCTAAATGGGGAGGTAGGGAGGACAAGTTACTTCCATATTTCTATATAGATGAAATCTAAATCACATTAAGACCCATTTTCTTCTATATAAGTACATTTATAGCTATTCTATTTTTTACAAAATCTTAATTTCTTACTTCATTTAAGAAGTAGCAATTGCTTATGCAGTAACATGCAGGCAATATTCAAACCCAGAAATTCATATAAGCAATTTAAGTGGCCTTTGATACAAGTGATGCTAAATTAATTATCTGGCCCATGACTAAACAAAATTCTGGAGAAGAAAAGGAAATATATAGATATCTTACCATCCATTATAAAATTAGAGATCCCTTTAACTATGGAAGTTCTCAGAAATAAATTTGACACGTAAGTACTTTCCCTTTACTTACTTTTTCTTTCCATATTTCCTTTTCTTACCCCTTACCATATTTAACAATGGTGTCCTGCAGATATTTTGGATTATAGTTCTCATAATCTGTCTATTATCTGGGATTTATAGTAACTGCACTGAGAAACAATGGGAATTCTCAGGTTGCCTGTTCTTGATTGACTAAATATATCTAAATTTTTTAGTAAAACAGACAGAAAAGTGGCATCAGACATTACCGTGTTTCTCCAAAAAGAAGGCCGCGTCTTATTTTCTTTTGACCTCCCCGCCACCACCCAAAAAAATTGCTAGGCCTTCTTTTTGGAGGGTTCCAATTATTGACTCACTTTGCAGCGGTGGCACCAATAGCCCCGCCCAGCAGGAGTCTGCTGCTGGCCCATTTCTTCTGTGGCCACTTGCCGCCACTCGCACACAGCACCCTGGCCTCCGTTTCGCCTTCAGATGCTTTCCGGAAAGCCCTCTGCAGCCAATAATAGAACTTATCAGCTGCAGATGCCTTCCGGCAGGCATCTAAAGCCAAAATGGAGGCCAGGGCGATGCGTGTGAATGGCAGCAAGCGGCCACAGAAGGCGAGGCAGGTGTTGCAGTGCACGAGGCCTGGTAAATAGGGCAGCTCCACCCCCCCATCCTCATCCTAGCTTATTTTTTACCTGTGTGCCTCACCCCACCCTCTGCACCCTGGGGTGGGCGGGGTCTTAATTAGGGCTAATTTTGTGGATGGGGCTTAATTTGATCGCTTACGCTCAAAAATGTGATAGTGCTTCTTTTCAAGGTGGGTCTTTTTTTGAAGAAACATGGTATTACAAATACTAATAACAAGAGATCTCAGATATCTAGCTCCTTTTGCCTTCTAGTGATATGTTGCAGTTCCTTTGTATTATAGCTCCATGACGGTGATGTTGTAGTAGTCACAGAGGAAAAAAAATATAAAATATAAAAACAGCTCAGCTTTTATTACTACTACTGATTTTGTTCAGACTAATCAGCAAATATGCCTCTTGTTCCTTTTTGCAGTAGAGTCTGGAAAATAACTCAAAAAGGAATATAGCGTTACCATGCTTGATACAAAGTTAGCTCATGGTTTTATCTTTGTGTTTCAGTCAGTCACCTATACAACTTAAATTTTGCCGATATCAATAAAGGTTAGCCAGCTTCAACTAGAACAGTCAAATTGCTAGAAAGGATAGGGCGCAGTCTCTCAGGATATTATAAACCTGCACTCTGTCCTCATCAACCAACCTTTCTGTACTATTCCTGCCACTTTGGGGGGGGGTCCCTGTTGTATTCATGTCCCCTCTCAATATAGCAATATTTTGGTCTTGGTCTTTGAAGACAGCTACTCCTTGCATGCAGTACATACGGAAATAAAATGGCAGGGTGGAGTAGTTGTGAGCTTCACGATAGGCAATCAAGTTAATTTCATGTTGCCTTTGTTGTGCCTGAAGTCTGTGTTTGGCGCGTCGGTGGTGGCAGACACAACAGCAACTCAAAATGATGATAATCGTCCATACTAGCCAGAACCCTGTGGAAAAAGAAAAAGGAGGAAGGGAAAGTAAATTTTATTCAGAGTATTTCTTCTTCAGAAGAAAAGCTTATCTATAACTACTGCATATGTGTGTAACCATTTGCAGCAGTCTGCATCTGTCAATAGACCAACTGTCAGGAGACATAAATAGAAGCAACATGCAGTGTTACTGGGTATTTTTACATATTTATTCCAGTCAACTGTAAATAAGAGTCATCACAAAGACTAAAAATGAAGATTTGAATGAAAGTGGCCTGTGGGAAGCTCCCATTTGATATCATGGAGGTCAAGTGAGAACTATTGCTTCTGACAGAAAAGAGAGCATACTTTAAGGCTGACTTCATGCCAGGTAAGATAAAAAAAATAAGTATGAATGGAAAAGAAAGATGAAATAACCAAGACATTAAATATATGGTTATTATAAAAAACATTGTACTTTAGTTTTGTTAAGAAATAACAAAGTATCCTTAAGGTAGGCTCATGATAAACAGCCAGAAATTTTGTTTTCCATTTGTAGAATTATAAAATGGAATTACCATAAAAAATCCCAATGTTTAACAGAGGGAAGGGGGAGGAATGGAGAATATCACAGAAGGATTATAGCTAATGTTGAAAAAGAAAACCAGCTGAGTGACTTTGGGCCAGTCATTTTCTCTCAACCCAACTCATTTTACAGGATTGTTGTTGTGGGGAAAATAGGAGGAGAAAGGAGCATAAGGTATATTTGCTGCCTTGATTGTAAATTGTAAAGTGTATGTATGTACTATGTATATTAGCATCCTTGTAGATTTGTTTTTTCCTTC